ACCTGATTTCTAAAGCTTTTGACTTTCTAACATCTGATGTTACAATTGCAGTCCTTAATAGTGCTATCTTTTTTTAGCAATCCCATAAGCATTTCACTGATTTTTTTTTACTACAGTTTTGACTGTACACCTGGTTCTATTCCAGTGGTATCAGTTAATTTTGATTTTCAAAGATGAACTTCTCTAAGCTCAAGAATAGCCCAACTTATCAAGCAGAGAAAGAAGTGAAGGTGGCAGGAGACATGAACAAGATGTTCCTGAAAAATCTCAAGCATAAAGGGGAAGCATACAAGAGGTGGAAGCAGGGTCAAGTGACCTGAGGAGAATATGAGCATGCAGGGTTGGGGTTAGGAAGGGTTAAACCTACCTAGAGTTAAATCTGGTGAGAAGAATGAAGAGCAACAAGAAAGGCTTTTGCATGTACACCAGCAACAGAGAGAGTGTAAAGAGTCTGACCCTTCTCAGGGTGCTTAGTGAATGGGCAAGAGGCAATGGGCACAAACTGAAATAAAAGAAATATCATTTAAACGTAAGAAAAAAATGTTTTCACCATGAGGGCAGTCAAACCCTGGAACAGGTTACCCCAGGAGGTTGTGGATTCTCCAGCTGTGGAGATATTCAAAACCTGACTGTACATGATCCTTGGCAATCTGCTGAAGCTGACCCTGTTTTCAGCAGTGTGGTTGCACCGGATGGTCTCCAGAGGTCCCTTCCAGCTGTAAAAGTTGTGTGATTCTGTGAACTCTGGATGTTGAGTTATTTCTTTTCCCACTGACACATGGAAAAATACTTTAAAGGTTTGAGAATATAAGCTTGTTAGTTACATCTATAAACCTTTTTGAAAATTTTAGTAGTACACTTTTGAGTTTTGTGTAGACAATTACATCAGAAAAACGAGATACAGAGCTTCACAAGAGGATTGATGCTTTAAGACCATATCAGTACTGTGTTTTCATACTTTGCATAACTTCAATAGTTTTACATAAAATATGTCTCCAGTGTGGTGAGGAGTCAGCTTACTGAAGTGTCATCTTGCTTACTGACCTTCCTTTGACATCCATTGCAAGGAAGTCAATTGTTCTGGGATCTGGGTCTTTTTCCAGGTGCTCTGTTAAATTGTAAGAAATTCCCAACTGATTCAGAGACTGGCCCAGGTATTCTGGCAGTCTGTCTGCGCCTGTGGCAACAGGAGATGGTGTTCAGGGAGAACATAACTTGGATAGTGTCTAGGGCCTCTTCCCCTAACATCAAGAATCATTGTTTTGAGTATTAGAGGGTGCATCTCTCTAAATAGGGGGGATTGATTTATGGATCTCCTTTCTGAATTTGTGATGGTTCCCAGGATTTTTGGCTATACAGCTGCTGCATGTCAAACTGATGGTTCCAGAGAATGCTGACATCAAGATCTCCTTCCTGAGCTGTACGTACCAGCAGATGCAGTTGTAACTGTTCCAGCTGCATTGGTGGCACTTGTCAGTAGGTTTAAAGGCTTTAAAGAACTCTGGAAAGAAATACAGAAATGCAGCAGGCTATCCTGAGGGATTTCTTTAGTATGTGACAGTTACATAAGAGCAGTAATCAAAAAACAAGGTTGTGGTCTTAAAAACAGTTCAGTAGTTACAAAGAAGCTTCTGGAAGTGTGAAATAAGTATTTCACCTCCTCCTTTGCTAAGGTTTAAATTCTTTAGTATGCTGCCACTGAGAAGACAATCAAGATTGAGCTGTTGATTCCTGTTCAGTTGGGAGAAAAGATGTGTCAGGAGGTCAGTGGCGGTGTAGGCAGGTGTAGAAGAGGAGACTTAGAAGAGACTCTTCTCTATGCTGAACAGCTCCAGCTCTCTTAAACTGTGTTCATGGCAGCTCCAGCCCTCTGAGCATCTTTGTGGCCTCCTCTGGCCATGTTCCAGCAGGTTCACATCCTTATTATGTTGTGGGCCCCAGAGCTGGGCACAGCACTCCAGGTGGGGTCTCATGAGAGCAGAGTAGAGGAGGAGAATCACCTCCCCCGACCTGCTGGCCACGCTGCTTTTGATACAGCCCAGGATGCTGTTGGCTTTCTGGGTTGCCAGCACACATTGGCAAGTCATGTTGAGCTTGCTGTCAACCAACACCCCTGAGTCCTTCTCCTCAAGGCTGTTTGCAATCTGTTCTCCACCCATCCTGTATTTGTGAATAAGATTGCCCCACCCAGCTGCAGGACCTTGCACTTGGCCTTGTTGAACTTCATGAGGTTCACACGGGCCCACCTCTGTCCTGTCAAGGTCCCTCTGAATGACATCCCTTCCCTCCAGTGTGTCAATTACACCACACCTGGTGTCACCCACAAACTTGCTGAGAGTGCACTCAATCCCACTGTCCATGTCCCTGACAAAGATGTTAAACAGTGCCAGTCCCAGTACCAACCTCTGAGGAACGTCACTCGTCACTGGTTTCCCCTTGGACATTGAGCCATTGACTGCAACTCTTTGAGTGCAAACATCCAGTCAATTCCTTATCCACTGAGTGATTCATCCATCAAATCCGTGTGTCTCCAGTTTAGAGACAAGAATATTGTGCAGGACCGTGTCAAATGCTTTGCTGAAGTCTGTGTAGAGGACACCAGTTGCTCTCCCCTCAGCCAGCACTGCTGTAACCCAGTCATAGAAGGCCACCAAATTTGAAAGGCAGAATTTGCCCCTAGTGAAGCCATATTGGCTGTCACCAATTCCCCCCTTATTTTCCATGTGCTGTAGCATACTTTCCAGGAGGATCTGCTTCATGATCTTGGTGGGCAAAGAGGTGAGACTGACTGGCCTGTAGTGCCCCAGTCTTCCTTATTTCTGTTTTTTACAATTGGGGGTTATATTTCCCCTTTTCCACTCAGTGGGAACTTCACTGGACTGTCACAACTTTTCAAATATGATGAATAGTGTCTTAGCTACTTCCTCTGCCAGTTCCCTCAGGACCTATGGACTCAAGGAAGATGAAGGATATTTTTAACCTACGAAAAGCTAAGTGGTTTCTCAAGTTTTTCTGTCTTTTAAATTTTTGTTTTATTTTGTTTTGTTTTGTTCTTTCTTGTTTTAAAATGGATTACTTCCTTCAACAGTCAACTTCCTGAAATTCTTCCTTTTTATGGAAGTTTGTTGTGGATGGAGTACTGTGCAGTGAGAGGAAGCCCAGTCAGAGTAACAAATCCTCATATGAAACTTTTTACAGAATTTACCTGAACAACTAAAACAAGTAACAGTATTAGGCCTTCATTGACTAAAATTGAATGCTTAGACCACCATTTGCACCACAGAAGCATTAAATGTTGAGTAATGCTTGAAGAGGCTGATAGTTAAAGACGAGGATTTTGAATAGCAAGGTATCTGAAGGTATCATCTGCAGCTTGCCTGGTTTTATTTTAAGCTACATATTTTTATGTAGTATCTACATATTTTTAACTTAATTAAAAATAAAAGTGTATGTTTAAATTAAAGGGTTTGCTTATTATAAGCTTTATTAATTTTATTGTCAGAGTGGGAAAAAATATATGTAGAAGCTGTTGTTTTATTTTATGAAGCCATGAGGAATGCTGTGTTTACAGTAAGATTAGGCATGCATTTAGGAAGTGGTGAGTTGTGGTGAACCTGGCTCTTTTGTACCGGGTCTGTCCATATCCCATAAACAAGAGCTTGAAACTGCTCTGGGCTTGCTCAGCCTTCCCTCTTCAGAGTTCTCCAGTGCTTTGCCCATAGCTGGATCCATGTTTGTATCTTACCAAAGTGACACTGAGGCTAGGCTAGACCTTCCTCCTGATCCTAAAACAGACCTGCTATGCCTCTGAGTTGGAGTAGCTGAAGCAGTTCAGATGTGAGTAGGGAAGGTGGGTGAGAAGTGAAAGCATAGGACACAGTAAAACAGGAGAACAAGGTATGGAAATACTCCATGACTAGCATGTGGTAACAACAAGGGTGCTGTGTTACTCCTGTGAATGGTAGAGCCTGTGGGTTTCTGAAAGGTGAGGAGTTGGCAGTACCAGTATTTTCCTGATTTTTGTGCTCAATTGGTAGGTGACATCTTACATGTTTTAAGGCCTATGTGGACATACCACTTAAACTGTAATCAATGAAAACCTAAATGGCAAATTGATACTAATTTGCACCTCTGAGTTCTGCAAAAAGGATGAAGCAAGATGAAGCATAATAATAGGTGATGAATTAGCCTTTGCTTGTGTTGACAACTATTTTAATGTAATCAAGTAACACTGACTGACTGGCACTACCATTCTTACTGGACTCTGTGAGGAAGAACAGCAACTTTCAAATTCTGTGCGTGCATTTTTTATAAGCATGCTATCAAAGTAAAAATAACCTATACCTCTTTATTTCACATTGGGGAGAGAGGTTCAAACCTTTAATAAAGTTGAAAAAGTAATTTATGCTGCATGCTTAATGGTCACAGGAAATTTAGGGAACACACTGTAGTGCACTAGTGTCGCATGTTACATGTCACTGGTGAGCTAATGCTCTTACCCTTTTTGCTTGCAGATCCAGAAGCTGTAGTTTTGGGGTTAAATCTTAAGAGTTTCATAATTCATGTGGCTGTCCTGTCTGTTGTGACCCCTTCTAGCAGTGACAGTTTATTTCATTTCTGTCTACTGAAGCTCTTTAGACTGTCTTCGAAGCTTCCTAGATTCACTTCTTACTGTGATATACTAAAATGGATCCAAGCAGCTCCTGCCAGCAGAACATTCAGTAGCCCAGCTGTACTCACTAACGTCACAAAATCATCAGTGTTTTGTATTCTCTTCTTAGCAGGAAAGAGCTCTTGGTGCAGTAACCCAACCAGCTCTTTTCCAAAGCACGGCCATTCTCTGCAGCTGTACCCGAGCCGCTGTGCTCCCAGCAGCACCACACGGAGACAGGAGATAGGGCTGCTGCTGCCCATCAGCCACCCAGAGCCAGCAGTGGCAGTTGTACTCCGTGCTTGTAGGTCAGATTCACATTTATGAGAATGTTTACTTCTCTATATAGGTTCAAGGTGCAAGTTTCCGGGGTTGGAAGGAAGTGACGTCTATGTTCAATAAAGATGATGAACAGCAATTGCTAGCAGGATGCAAGTCTCCAAAATCCAAAGGGTAAGTAAAACCAAGTGGTCTATCTGCTATTAAAATGCACTCACTGTAACAGAAAATAGCTGTGCAAAGTAATAAAGCTAGACACTGAGAACAGTAGTGTTCAACTCGTGGAAGTCAAATCAGCAAAGAAAGGTTTAGGTGCATTTCAGAGTTATGTATATGTTAGGCTTACAATGAATAAGACATGCTGTATTTGGAAAGGACAGATGTTGTTGTTAACATTTTTAGGTTTGTCAGGAAGAAAAGGGAATGTAGCTGCATAATAATTTTTTTTACTGTAGAAAAGGAGTAAAGGCTTCTGAGTAAAAGGGTCATTCTTACCCTCTGTCTTTTCTCTTAAAGATTAATTATGGTTGAGTTTACAAATTCCTTTTTTTACATGCCCTACTTTCTCTTTTGAAGTCTTACTACACCTAAAAAGGTTAAGTGGGGTAGCTACACTAGGATCTGCAAGTCTTCCTTGTCGGAGCTGAGGTGGTTACTTGGCGTAGTTCTGCTGCTGACACGATTACAGCTGTTCTCTGAACAGAACAGATCTCTTCCCAGAGCAGACTATTTTGCTGTTACAAATATATGTAGGTTTTACCTTCATGTGCTACCTAACTACACTGGGTACAGGCACAAACCAAGTGTGCCACATATCAGTAGATCTGTTCCAGCCAAATATTAGATTTGATAAGACTTTCTGTAGTAAGCTTTGTTTCCAGTTTACTTTGAAATATATGTGTTTCAGAATGCAAGGGTATATATCTACATGTAGGGGGTGTTTGTATATAAATAAACAACATAGAATATAAAAGCATATATTTCCATTTCCATATGAGCCTGTTCAATAAAACTTCACAAAAGTTCCCAGCTATCTGTGTACACTTTTATGGGTGTTACTAAGACGCTAGGCTCCTCTAATGATGCTTGCAATTGATGCTGAATATAAGAATCAAGTAACACAGTGAAGAGAGCAAAAGTATTTAAACAGAGTTACCACAGATGTGGAAAGCTATTTTCGTATTATTATGAAAACTGCCTGTTTTTTAAGTTTAGGATATTTTTCTTTAACTGTATACCACAATTTTTACTTTACTTTTAAAGAAAAATGGAACTTTTCAAGTGCACTACTTACGAAATACAAGAAAAGTGTTTGGAGTATGTGACTGTTTTTAGCATGATGAAAATTCTGAGTAATCATAAATTCAAAATTCAGTAAAGTAATTTTAAAGGTATTGATTGAGTTGCTTCTATTTAAATATGAGGGAGCAAAGATTTCATGGATGGAAAAAAGCTCTTTTAATAGAAATATTAGACAAAGATTTAGTGGTGGGTTTAGTTGTGGCTAAGGAATTTATATGCTACTAGCGGATAATGTTTTCAATTTGCTGTTTAGCTTATTGAACCCTGAAGGTTGTGTTCAGCCTGTCATTGTGGCCCATTATATGATTACGTACATAACCCTGCACAGAAAATTAACTGTAAACATTCTACATTTCTGTAATTTAAATATTCCAGCTGCAAATATGAAATTATTAAGACTGAAGATTCTTAATGGGATAAGAAAAGTAAAAATGAGTAGCCTTACAAATGTCTCTTTGAGAGAGAAGTTACAGTGAAGGTTGTTATTTCTTGGGTCTGGGAGGGGGATTTTGAGAGTTCTTACCAGAAGTACAAAACAGCTGTTTTCATGATATTGTATAGATAAAGCTGGTATCTTTAAAGTCCTAATACTGTCCTAACAGTACATCAAGTATTTTAGGGTATAGGGTTTAACTGGCAAGGGGGAGACAGGAATATGAAACTGAGGGACATAGTGAGTGAGTGTTAAAGCTGGTGTTAGAAAGGACATTTTCATATTCCTTCTATTATCCTACCTCTGGGGATTTTTTTGTTTTGGTTTGGGTTTTGTTTGTTTGTTTTGTACTGTTTTTTGGTTAAAGTCCTAAATAGTTTTAATGCATCCTAAAATACTTGGTACATTTCCAAAAGCAGTTGTGTGTAATTCACCCCTGAATGGGGGTAGGGGTGATGGTATATATGTAAGTTCTTTTATAATAGGAAATGACCATACTCAGTCCTCCCCTGATTTATCGCTGTAAGATTCTGCTATGTTTAGGCTTACATGCATATGATGGTGTTTTTCCTGAAGTTGACAGTAATGGATGATTAGACAACTTATTAGCATCCCTGACTGTAAAATATATAAATTAATTGAATGCTTATTAATAACTACTACATACATTGTAAAATGAAGAAATTAATCACCGCACTGTTGTTTTTTTGTAGAACAAACCTAAAGTTAAAGGAAGAGATGAAGTCTGAAAAGAAGCCAGGTTTTTGGGACAGTTTGGTGATAAAGCAGAATGTTCCACCTAGGAAACCAGATGAGATTGAGGGATGGGAACCACCGCAGATTAGCACTGCTGACTCTACCAGCAATGCAGCAACTCCTTTAAGTGACTATACAGCCTGGTCAGGCTGGGAAGATGAAACCAAAGGCTCCACAAAATACACAAACCTGGCCAGCTCAGGAAACAGTTCCCGGTGGAGTATCAAATCAGCTGGAAAGCTGGTTAGTATTAGACGTCAAAGCAAAGGTAACCTTACTGACAACTGGGAAGAGCTAGAATGATACTGGTAACATGAAATACTTTATAGATAAGAAGAGAAAGATTCCATGATTTACTCATATGTTTAAACCAAAATCAAATCTGCTCGATCTTGCACCTTTATACAGTACTTTGTTTTATTCAGATTGTTACAAATTTTTGCTCACCTGATAGTAAATTTTCTTATTACATTGTTAAATAGCTATGTTTTCCACACTGAAAAAAAGTAGAGAATCTATTTTGTGCCTATATTTCACATTCAGACTCTGCAGTATGTTGGATTGTTGGTTTTACCAAAAAAAAAGTAATTCCTTAGTGAATGTATACACTGGTTGTAAATTTGACTGCCTTATGTAGGAAGTTCCACTAGCTCGAGGTCCTGTTTCTTTTCTGATGTTTGAGGGTCACTCAAAATTTTAGTTTTGATGCTGTCCCTTTTTAACCAAGAATACTGATCTGTCACTTGCAGGAGAATGCTTGTACTTAGTAGACTGTTTTCCAAATCTTCAGCCTCAGCATATGCTTCAGCTTGTGCACACAAGATGCTTCCTGTCACAGTATGCTATACTGTGTATGAAGTGGGAAAATACTATTCTAATATAGTTCCTTCCATTAGAAGATTGTCACCAATAGTCAGGTCAAATGGGTCTTCCAGAATTTGGGGGGGGGGGGTTTTGGTGGGTTTTTTTCCTGTTTGTGGGGGGGGGGGGGGGGGTAAGCGTTTGGTTTTTTTTCTGGTTTGTTTGTTTTTGGGTTTTTTGTTTTGTTTTGTTTGGGGGTTTTTTTGTGTTGGTTTTTGGTGGGTTTTTTTTGTTTGGTTTTGGGGTGTTTTTGGTTTGGTTTGGGTTTTGCTTTTCTTTTAATATTGAATTATTTTTTTTGACAATTCTGAGTTTTTCAGTTTTTAAGATGCATGTTATGCCAAAAATAAAAATGATTGAAAATTTGGAAAGCGGCAGTGAGTAGAGCATAAGATGATCTTGATATTCTGGGGGGATATTGAATCTGGATCTAGGTATAAGTTGGTTCTTATGGAAGGGCATATGTTCTCATTTTTTTACAATAGCTGATCCTTGTTCTAGAAACAACTTTTTTGTTTTTTGCTGTGTTGTTCTTTCCCCCCCACTCCATAAGCAATGACCGAATTATACTCTGGCATTTTCAGGGTAGCAGAGTAACTGAGCCATTGCAAGTGTGTGCATACACACAACTTCTGAAGCATTTTTGTTATAAAGCTCCGCTTTATTAGCTACTGATATTTTGATTTTTTTTGGTAAAAGTAGGTGAAGTGTTAAACTTGAGATTTGAAATGTATATATGACTAATAAAAGTGCCTCTTTTTAGCTTATTGTCTCTCATTAGCGGTGCAGCTGATGCCAGATCCAAAGTTGGTTTCTATTTTGTTTATATGATCCACATAAATGCTACTTTAACATTCATGGGTAAAAATCAAACCAAAAGTTTCATAGGAAATGAACAGTAGGCCTTTTCTCTCCTGATTGTTCAACTGAACTGAAAACTTGACTGCCTAGCGGTATGGCCAGTACAGTTGGAAGATCAAGCTAGCATGTCAGAGAAAATCAGCACTTTTACAAGAAAGTATATACCTTTATATAACAGATGTCCTGTAAACATATTTTTGCAAGAAGCTTATGCTGATGGAAAGGGATGCATGCCATTTTTTTCTAAGCTTGTACCTTGTTTCTGTTACTGCCACATTACTCCTTCCTTAGCTTTCTCTTTCTCCTCCCTCCAATTCACGTAGAGTTTTCTGGCTTACAGTTCCTACATAGCTATTTTTTGGAGATTCCTGCTGAAATGTGCCTGAAGGGAAACTGTAACAAAATGGTTTGGGTTGGGTTTTTTTTCCTGATATTAATAGGATGTTAAAAGACATTGTTCTTAAGTTTATATAAAAGAACATTGATGTTTTCTGCTACAAAACAGGATCTTGCAACTGGCAAATATATTTGTAAAACTGGCATTAGTTATTGAAAAAGTACTGATAGAGAAAAGGTTAGCATTTATATTGCATCATTTAGTCTGTGAGTAAACTCTGTATTTGCCTTGGGCAAATACACTGAGGTTAATTATAGGAAAGAGTTAGTATTCTTGGGTAAAGTATGCTGCATTTTATAGTTTATGGAATACCCTTTAAGGCATGAGCTAGTATTTAGTTTGGTTGTTGGTGCTGACTTAAAAGAACAGAAGATCTGTTAGCAGCTCTTAAAGATGGGCTGAGAACTTTTAATTTCACTCCTGAAGAAACTATTTATACTGTGACCAGTAAAGGTTTTGCCTTGCACATTATACTGTCAAGTGCCTGTTTTTCACCTTGATGACGTGTTTGATGCACAGCTTAACTGCAACCTTTTTCAATTTGTTTTTAGATGTATGATTAAGAATATGCTCACAAATCTGAAGCCTATTATAAAACAAAATTGCATCCAAGTGGGAAATTGAGATATGTAAAATTTCAGTTTCATTCCTAGTGATGAAAGTTTTGGTGTGCTTTTTAAGTGATATTTCCTCAGAAATAACCATTCTAAGGATCAATGTTATCAAATTTAATATAATTTATTGTTATGCTTTAATAATCTATTTGTCTGTTAAGAACTCACGGTGTGAGCTTTCCTTCTCTTATGTTTATAAGTGTGTCTGAATTTTCAGAATGGGGTCCTTTCTTCTTTTACCTTCATTAGATGCTTAACTACATTATACATTTATGGGCTTAAGCTATCCACAGCTCCATATGTGGAATAAATGTAGAATATGTTCCTTAAAATTTGTTTTGAAATTGCATTTCAAACTGTGTGAAATGGTTTAGAAGAAGGTAGCATTAAGATTGTATGATAAGATTGCACAAAATAAAATATAGTTTATATTGCTTTCTCGTAGCCAATCTGCATGATCGTTGGCGTGGTTTTAATGGGAATTAAAAGCTTCATGTGGCTGTTACTAGTCACTTAACTGAGCAAAGTTCTTTCTGAGTATTTTTATTTATTAGCATCATTTGCAAAAAAAGAAAAGTAGTATTTTCCATATGAATAAAGATTTAGTTTGAACTGAAATGCCTCATTCTGTGACATTTTTTTGGTTCCATTTCAGTTGTCATGTGAATTTGTTTCCATCTATGTGGACGTTACTTGCATCATTGTAGAGGGTGGCCAAGGAAGTGACAGTGATGTTTGTCCAAACTCCATGAATCATGCCATCTCGGAAGCTGCAGCAACGGGATTTAAAGCATCACACATTGCTTTCACAGTGGGAAGAATTAGCTGGTTTTAACAAACTACAAATATTTTGCTTTACTGGTATTTGATTTAAACTTTTGTTTTGTTTTGTTTTTTAATTTATTGGCTGTTATGAAAACTTGGGCAGAGCAGCATTCTTTCCCTAAATATTTCATCAGCTACATGTAAACTGGAGGACCTGGAATGCTTTTGCACACACTGGCCCCATAACGAGGTGAGACCTGCACGTCCTGGACTGCGACACGTGAGGTGCAGCCACTGATACCAGTGGATCAGCTACAGAGGGAAGTGTATTGTCAGCCTCTCATTCTTCCACTCTCGTCTGCTGGCTTTCTGGTTGCCTACATAGACTTAGCAGGTAACACTTAGGCAAGATGTTTCATATTGTAGTGTGGGGACTAGGCAGAACAGAAAATTTTATTCATAAAAGTTGCATTCTTATGGGAAAGAAATCCTGTATCGAGATGGCTCTGACTAGACCCAGGTGGGTCAGGTGCACATCAAGGCAGGTGAAAGGGAGTGGAGGGACCTGCATTTCCAGACCCAGGGTAGACAAGGACCCTGCCAAATTCTGAGCATAGATGTTCCCACAGCTCAGGTGAATTCAGCCTGGCATCTGTCTCATTTCCAAAACTTTTTGAAATGCTTGTTAATGTATGGGGATGTTAGATGACAAAACTGTAGGTCCTATCTCTGTGCAATTTGAAAACATGAATGTGCATGTTATTTAGCTGTTTCTTGCATATCTAAACTGTTCTTGCTAAATTTATTTTTTTTTCCTGAGTGCCTGTTAGTTTGTTTCTGATGTATCAGGGAAATGAAACCACTACTGAGAAGAAGAAAAATAATTTCCAAAAAGGCTTAGTCACTGGTGATAGTTTGCAAAGATGTGTATCATTAGATGTCTGTCAGACTCTCAAAAATTTGTTATGTAGTGAAATCAGATATATAGGCAAAAAATTCAGTTTAGAAATTGAAAGGAGAGAATTACATTTATTGTAAGTGCAACCAGTAAAATAGCAGAAAATAATGCTTCTTCTATAGTTACAAAGCAATAAAGAATATGAAAACAATCAGAAAATAGGGATATAAATAATAGAAAATTTTATGAAATATATAATAGCAAACAAAGTGTTGGGAGAAGATGGTTTTTCAAATGATATTTACCAACAGTTATCACAGGTAATGAAAAAAGAAATACCTGCTCTATATTTGGGAAGAAATTTTTCCTATTCTGTGTCTAGTATTTACTAAAAGATGCAAGAAAGTGGGTATATTCTTTTCAAGTCCATAATAATCTGGTAAAAGCTTGGCTGGCACTTAAATTTTTATGCTGTTGAGACCCAAATAACACTAGTGGAAGCTTAATAACACATTTTGAACTGTGAGTTTGCTATTGAAAAAGAAAAAGAATTACGCTCTGCAGAGAAAAACTCACAGCTGTATTTTCTAAGATTGGTTTGTCCACTACTGAAAATAACCATGTGATGTTTTGCTTTCCAGTTGCTCCAAGCTCTTTGGCTGGTTTAATTATTTGAGTTTGTATGGCAAAACAGGTCAGATTCATTCCTTTAAGTTACCAATGTCTTTTGGCCTTTCTTGTCTTCTGCCTTTTTCCTTGAAACCCCCGAATGCTATTGATTTGACCATCTTCTTTGTCCAGGAGTCATGGATTCTCCACAAGGTCACACTGCTAAATGCTTCTGGTATTTGAGGGACAGAGGAGACACTGGTGAATGTGTTTGTGCTGGAGAAAGGGAGACCAATGTATCATGAGACCAAGTACTGCACTTGGCATATTATTTTTTTCTGTCAAAGTTTTCTAATGTGCAAGATGATTAATATTAATTATTCTTTGATTCATTTTATTTTTGTACTTGTCCCATATTAGCTTTTTTTTTTTGGGGGGGGGGAATCACACATGCAAGGACATCCTGATTACATGAAGACTTACTCTCTGCTATTTCTTGCATGACCGACACCCCCCTTTTAGGCTGACTTGCCTCAGTTAGTGCCTGTAAACAGTTTATCTTTTGAACATTTGGACAGAAACTTGGCAACCAACATTTGATAGGAAAAACAAAGGAAAACAAGTCAAGCATCATTTCCCATTAGGAAGTAAACCATTGTTTGATAGGATGGAGCACAAGATTCCCAGAAGTCCTACTACAGAAAGAGTAATGCTGCACTTTAGAGTTATTTTGAAAATTAGAGACTTAGTGAAATATATACTTGCTCTTTTTTTTTTCCATTTTATAAAGTCATGTGTCTCCTGAAGAGTATCAACCTGTCTGCAGAGCATGGCTGTCCTGCTGTGCCCTGCAGGAGAGCAAGTGTGAGTTGACCAAACTGTTGTAGCCAAGGTGGATGGGCCTGTTGGCAGCTGAAGACAGGGTGGAAAGTCTGAGCTCCTGACCTGTGCCATGAGAACTGGCTGCACTGGGGACAGGGGGAAGGTTTTCAAGACACGTAAAGGAGCATTAAGGCATGAAGAACACTATAAAGAGAAGTCCAGAATATCTGACAATGTTCCTAGGGGTGTTAGTATCAATATTTACTAATAAGCCAGGGGTTTAGTGTTGGAGAATCAGAACTAACACACAGACAGTCCTCTTTCCTGGTGTTTTTTCCTCGTTATCCTATTCAAGACCAGGATTTTTGGCTGTGATGAGCAATTGAAAAGAATGTTCTGTGTGCACAGGTACAAAAAGAAAGTTCTGGATGCTTGTAACATCAGTGCTCTAACTTGCAGCAAACACTTCTCCAGATCTATGTCATACTACTATGCCTGTAAATTTAGCTTAATTGACCAAAAATATAGAAAGTGAGTGCAGGTGGTAGAAGACTGTACCCTTAAATATAGGATAAACAGAAGACTTATGGCCAGCTTGCAGCAGGAACTTAAGTGGTGGTGTGGTTTATTTATTGAAGTTTTAGTTGAACTGAGCAGCTCCATCCAGTATCCTGATTCTTCAAATACTGTACTTTCAGCCTCCTCCCATTCTCTGCTCTTTTACCAGATTTCTGAGATCTCTTAAGACCTTTCTCCATCCTTCTCTTTCTTCTCTGAGATCCCTGATGATTCCACTTTAGTATCAGGATACTTTTTTCCCCTTTTAGTGGATGAATGTATTTGGTCTACCTGAGATGGGGTTCAGAGGTACAGACTGGGAAATGCTACTGCAGGAGCTGCTGCATTATGGTCATGAAAATGTAATGAAAAGTATTGCTTTTATAAATTCACCAAGTTCTAAAGGGATACCATCGAGTTAAGAAGGCGAGTACAGGTTTACAGCTTTAAAAGTCAACAGTAGGAAAAAAGCTAAAAATAACTGCTATGTCTGAAGAATAACAGGGACCAAAACATTGTGAAGAGGTGCTCCCACCATGCAGAACTTTGTTCTATAATCTAAGCATTGTGTGGGGATGACAACTGACTTCAGCAAATAAATTATTCTTCCATTATTGGTCTGCTATAAATACTATAGAAAAACAGCATTCAAATGGAAAGAGCATATAAAAATTAAATAAGTAAATGTAGAACTAAGTGGCAGCTGTTTGTGTGTGCCTTGAAAATTATTAGAACTTTCAGCTGAAGGTGCAATAACTGTAAAGTGCAACAAATACAAAGCTGAACATGTTTTATTCATATTTGTAGAAGAATGAACACATAAACCTGCAGAAGATAAGCATTACCAGCATGTCTGACAGGCAGAGGGAGAGATCTGTGTGTGGAACAGAGAACAGCCCATGGGAATTGAAAGAAAAGACACCAAGCTTTTCTCTCACCTCTCATGTTCTGAATCCACTTATCTATTATGTCCTTCCATACAGACATTTTAAGAATTAAAGGTAACCCTTATCCTACTGAACTTCATAGGAATTACGTTCCAATGTCTTTGAAGGGGTTGGAACTGAGCCTTGCAGCTGAAAGCATAGAAACAGTACAAATGAATAGCATAATTAGCTAATGCTTCTATGTTCTGAACTGTAATTTAGCAACTGTATCCAAACATTTGATATTGTTTGATTTATTTAATGCTGGTATCTCTCTAGCTCTATGCCAATTCAAGCAACCTTAGCTGGATATTAAGCATCTGGCCTTCCTCTAACTTCTTTGCCAATGATTGATCTGTAAATATGCTAATTTGTACATCAGGAGATCCAAAATTTTGTGCTACTGTTCCCTATTCTACCCTCTCGTTTCTGCTAGCCCTCATTGCTTCTGCCTTCTAGACCACAAAAATGTCACTAGTCTTTCAATCCTATTCCTAGTGGATATGTTTTGGTTTGAGCTAAATGTTTTCTTGAAGTTCAACTTCTTCCTTCTCCAAAATCAAGTTTATGCATTACCCAGGGATGGGGAGCAGGGGAAGGAAAAGAGGAAGGTCCAGCTCCTCTGCTACTCTGCCTCGATCCTGTCTGACATCCAAAGAGAAAGGCTCACTCAGTGCCTTTGGACACTGGCAGAATGTCTTCTCCCAGAAAAAGGTGAATAAAACTGTTGGGAGAGAATGTAACAAAACAAGCAAGGAGTCTCTCAGAGACAGGAGGCAGTAACTGGGGCACATGTTGGGGAGGGGGAAAGAAGATCCTGTTTTTCAAAATTGTAATTTCAAGCTCATTTTGCACTGTGGCAGAGAACATCCTGATTGCCTTTGAATCAGTATTGTTTTTTCAGGACTAGAATTCAATAAAACCCAGATCACCTGAATCTGTGATGTGATCATGCAGGGGCCACAGTTAGAACATGATTTCTTACCATTGCCACTGCAAAATCTGTCTGTAAACAGTTCCAGGTCTAGGGACAGAAGCTGGGGAGCAAAAGAAACGTGCTGTTGAGATTTAGTACACATTTCAAGGCACTTTTTCTGCTTTAGGGGACAGGACCTGCCTTTCTGTGCATGGGACAGTCAGCACCCAGGAGGCCAGAGAGCAGATGTTTTACTTTAAGGAATTACTTTCTCCTGGGTTACAACACTTTAGGTTACATGAGTAAGTACTGGTGTAAAGGAAACTGAGATGAATTCAGGCTGTCAAAATATATTCTTTACTTCAGGTGAAGTATTAACGTGATTGTTATCCTAAAGGTGAAATCCTCTCCCCTTTGAGATATAAAATAAACCCCAACCAAAACCAAATAAGACAACACAAACCATATTGATCATGATCACTGCCTTAGCTTTTTTGGTAGGTGACACAATTAAAAGCTATCTTCTTATGCAGCCAATGACTTTACATCGTGTAGTCGCTCTTAATCAAGCTCTAGTATTTGCCTAGTCTAAGAAATGCATTCACTAAATATTTAACTAGCTAGTGCAACTATTCCCAAAGCTCAGTTTTGCTGAGTGTTAAAAGCTTGTAACACTGCTCATGACAGTGTGATTCTGCACTCAAGATCTTTAAGATATAAAAAATAATTAATAGCCCTGCACTGAAATGCTTCTCAGAGCATGTATGCACATCTCTTCTGTTCCCCTCCCCCCCTTTTTTTTTGTTAACCTGAAAGAAAGGTTTAAAAGGCTACTGGGTTTTGGACTTGGGCATCCTGGTGGGCACCAAGCTGAACATGAGCCAAGAAGTGTGCCCTTGACACAATTAAGGTTAATGGGCTGCAACACAGATAAGGTTAATGGGCTGCATGGACCTGCTGAAGGTAGTCAAGTGAAGGGTCAGACAGAGCATGAAGGGACTGGAGCATCTGTTCTGTGAGGAAAAGCTGAGAGAGCTGGAACTGTTCAGTCTGGAGAAGAGAAGGCTCAGGGGGACCTCATCAATGTCTATAAATACCTGAAGGGAGGGTGGGAGGAGAAGGCAGCCAAGTTCTTGTCACGGGAAACCACTGAAAGGACCAGAGGCAAGGGGCACAAGTTGCAACACAGGAGGTGCCATCTGAACATCAGGAAACACTTTGTTACTGTGAGGATAACCACGCACTGGCACGGGCTGCCCAAAGAGGCTGTAGAGCCTCCTTCCTTGGAGATACTCAAAAGCCATCTGGCCATGGTTCTGGACAAAGTTCTGGACAAAGTCCTGGACAATCAGCTTGTTAAGCCCTGCTTAACAGGGTCCCTTCTACCCTCAACCAACCTGTGAATGTAGAATGAACAATCCAAGGCAGAATCCTGGCTGTTGTCATCTTGTCTACTGCCACCTCAGACCTGTGGGATGGCCTGGTTATGCTGAATGGCCTGCACAGGAACATGTCTCTGAACAAAACGTTCAGCCTGTCAAAGGCTTTTTGCTACAGAAGGTAGTGCAAGACAGCAAGTGGGGAAAGAGAAAGTGCTGTCACTTGACATTTCTAAGAGAACTGAAAATTAATTATTACAGATACTGATTTTTCCAAACTTATCTTTAAGTTCTTACAAGCCATTTTAAGTAATTTCTCTCCCTCCTCAATTCAGTGGCTAAGGGAGGTCTCTTATAGCTCTCTTAATACCTTTCCCCAGTAGTCACATTTGTCTCTTCAGTGATGGGCAGCTCCCAAGTAAGAGTGGGTCCCTTACAAGCTTGCATTCTGTCTGCAGGAGATGGTTCCACACAGTCCCTGATCAGAGACCTTCAGTCAGCACGATGGGGGAAGAGCTCACAGCAGTATTAAATCAAATGCTTAAAATCTTTCTTTCAAGCTCTCAGAGAAAGCAGGTAGCATCCATGTATTTAGACGCAGTTTCATGAAGAGTAGCCAAACTGTAACCATGGTAAGGGAGTGATTAATGGATGTCAGCAATCAGCAACCTCTGTCAAGGTTACCCAGGTCACATACATGGGAAAGCACATCAGCAACTCTTACATGAGTTAAATAAATAGGGTGCAAATTGTTGTTAAAGAAGTGCTGCTGGTTCCTTAACAAATCCAGTGGCTACAGCAGTGCTTGGGCTAGGAAAGCAGGGCTTGCAGCAATGTTCTTAATGAAGAGGAATAAGAATGGATGTCCTTGGCTCCGTACCTGATCACTACCATAGCCATGGCCAACACCTGAATTGAAAGAAAGAAAAGAAATCCACAAAACCCTGTATTTAAAAATCCACCTATCAGCAAATTCAATGGATAAGGTTGGTATATTACCAAGATTCAAGTTAAACTATATTTTGAGGAAATAAATATTCTCCTCTTCTTGTGCAGCCTATTAACAGCCCAACTATCCTATTAAAAAAAAGTGCTAATACAACCAGTTACTGAAAAGCAGTGTCACTTGGACTGGTTGTAAGCTTCTCATTCCATGACCAATTACTACAGAGAACAGGTTATAGAAAGATCTTGCAAAATACGAATTGATTCATCTCTGTGCACTGGAGACTTCTAGAAATAACAGATAAAACCATGATTTATTACACTGTACAAAACTAGATTCAGAACAGGCAAGTGCAGAATATGGTACATAATTTATTTTTTCTGTACATTACATATTTTTAAATTTCACTGACAAACCCAAAACTTCCCTAATTTTTCCTTTACCTGCCTAAGCCAAGCAATTCAGTTTGTTCTACAGGATAGATGAAAATAACTTCCTTGAGAATTTATCATCTGATTAACTTGGCAGAAGGTGCTTCAGCTCAAAATGACCTTCAGTGTTCCCCACAGCTTCAAACACCCGAGGTTAGAACCTCGGTTGGTAGCATAGGCTTCTGCCACTGTACCAGTCTAGAAACAAGCAACTCCATTCTCCTTAAATTTCAAAAATGTCTTCTTCTTAGAAGATGAGTTAATGCGGTTGCATTTGTAGACATTCCAAACAGTATAAATGAAGGCTGTAGCTACCATCAGAAAAATGAGATTTCCAGTAGCCCCAGATTGGTGTCGAGTTCTGTGGGATGTGCTGAGATAGGTTATATATGTTTAATAAAGTCCTTAAGAAAAATAAATATATTTGCATAATGTATGTACAAAGATTGGTTGATTTCCTTCATTCATATAGGTTCAACAGCAGATATAACCACAGTTATATTATATTCACTACCTCACAATGATTAATGTCACCCTGGTAACGATGTAGTAAGAGTCTAAGAGAATATTGGCCTATTCTTTATAATAGTGCAAATTATATGGAGGTGTTTTGAAAACTGTGGCTTAAAGAAAGAAGGATTAACAAAAACACCCCTCCTTTGGTCCCTGCAAGAGTAGTTTAATTCTTCCATGAAATTTTCAAAACTCCCCCACATAATTTTAACCAACTATTAAGGCGTCAAAAGCATGGATTTAAAGTTGAGATTTAAGTGGTCTTTCTTGGACTTAAAAAAAAGTCCACTGCAGATTTCCTGACAAAGAAATTTTCTTAATGCATCTCCTTCTCCACCTGTCTTTTCTGCACAAAAGCAATACACCAAATAAACCTGTCTGATAATCTCCCCATACATTTTTTTTAACTACAATAAAACATTACACTTAAATATATTGCACAAAAAGCATAACATATCCTGCCTGACTCTTCACAAAAATGGCCACGAACACAGGAGAACAGCTACTGAACACCTCAAAATTTGAATAGATCAATGAAATGCTGAGGAGATACTGGCATGAGACAGGTGTTTGGATCACTGGCTGTGCAGGGATGTCCTGTATCCTGCAAAATGAAGGAGAAAAAAAAAGTAAGTTCTCTTTCCATACTTCACCCCCAATTCAGGGAAAAAAAAATTCAGGGAAAAATTCTCTCCTCCTAGCAAAACCAGAACCTTAGTTGGAGCTCTTGAAAAAGTATCATCTTCCTTATCCATTATTTTTTGATAAGTGTAATAAAAAGGCAAAAAGGCAACTGCTTTGTTGAACTTAAATTATCTGTTTAATCAAAAGCTGCAGTCAATTATTCCTCTAGGGAAAAATTAGCCCCTTTCTTTGAAAGTGAAGGGCAGCAGACACTTCCTCAAAAAACCTGAACAGCATGTTTGAAATCCCAGTCTTAAAAGTTTTTCTACTTTGCTATTTTTCACCAATATCTTTCTGTCCTCTTTCACTCCTACCTTTTCCCCACCTGAAAGCATTGCCTTAAAACAGAAGTGAGCACCCAGCCAAGTTAGGATTATTTAAGTCAGACAGGAAAGGCTTTGCCATTACAAATTCACTAAGCCTGCAGTGTTTTCTTTCATATTACTTGAAACTTTACCTCAGCAGAACTGTCTGATTATTTAAGATTCAAACTGCTCTTTGAATTAAAAGTTCAGTTTTGCACCTTATTAGAACTCCCTAAGGGAAGGAAATGCAGAGGTGTAATTAGAAGGCCCCAGAGAGTTCAATGGACAAGTTAAACACCTGGTTCAACATTGTTGTAAGGCTCAGAACCTGTCCTCACCAGGTTTTAAGGGGTTTCTCTCCCTTTTCCACCAGTGTTCATGAATTCACCATGTGAGGCAAGAAAACTAGATAAATACATGGCAAGTAGATCAGAGACTACTGTGGTCTCCATTGCTTTTGTCTCCATAGGAAGTGAAGTTACATGCAATTCAGTTAGTAGAAGGAAACCTGTGACTTTTTTTCCTCACTGCCACATTCCCGCCAAGTCTTTGCACCAAAGTGCAGTCGGTGAAACACATTCTGAATACTACTCAGCTTCGTGTTCTAAATACTATGCAGCTTTTCCAATTAAATTTGTTACTCTATTGATATATTATTTGTGTTTTCCCATTGCGTCTATAGATGACTACATGAATATACCATGTGGTATCACCTCCTCATCCTCCCACTTTTTTAATAATTGCTTTAACATCACTTAAGAAACAGGTTAGAAACAGTTGTTAGATTCATGGCATAGAGGGGAAAAACAAAGAGACCCAGGTAGAACTGCCTGGGGGAGGCTGCAGATGAGCAAGAACAGATGACCAAGACCAAAACCAGAGGTGTTAAACTTAACACCTTCATCTTGAGATGACATCTACAAGGAAGAGCTACACCACATCAGAAAACACTCTCAAAGGTAGTTGCTGATGGACTATTGTCTTCTCTACCCCTTGCCGTGTCAATGTCATGCTTCCAGGAAAACACACCATCAGAACTGTAATTCTGGGAAAGAAGGTAGGGTTTGTCCTCTTTTAGTACTTATACTCCTGAATATCTTAGAATTTGTAACATGCTATCTGCTTTCTCTGTACATCATTATAAAAACACTTTTGTGTTTTCCTGACTGCCTAGTCAGGAATTACAGGTCCAATAAAAATCTCAAAGAGGTCAGTTCTTAGTTATTGAACCAACATAGACAGAAATTTTACAGCAAAAAAAAGGTGATGAGGACTGAAAAGAAGAATCATAACTTTCCTGTAATGAGTATTCCTCCCTCTAACAGAAATATATTTTCATTGGAACTACACTTATTAATGTGTTCAAATCATATTGATTTTCAGTGTATCAAAGCTAAAACAGACTTCTTTTAAGGTAAAATGAGAATTCCCCAGGAGGAGCATTTACTGGCAAATGTAGTTGTTCTCCTCAAACTTTATCACAGCTGGGCATTAAGAACCTCTCTGTAAGGATTTTCACCATTTCTTCATTCAGAAAACAATTATATAATTGCATCCCCCAACTCTCCCAGGTCACATGCAGCCTGTTCTGGGAATTTTCCTTTCAAAAACGTATATAGGACTACAGCATTTCAAGTGGAGTAAAATTAATTTTATTTGCATTAAGGAAAGTTATTGAAGTACATGTTACTCTTTTCAGATTTAAGAACTGAATTAAATACATCAGGGAGTGCAGAAATAGTTTATAACACTGAGTGCAGAGAAACCTATTTCTTAGCAAAATCTGGCTGATCCCACTAACACCATTGCCTCGATGTTTGTTAGAATTTGAATTAGAGTCCCTAGTTTAAATGGCATTAACAGGGAATGTGGCAATAATGAAAGACAAAACGGACAAAACAGTGAGATGGAAAGTCATCACTACCTTTACCTAATAGGGAAAAAACCTGAAGTATTCCTGCTGCTAAACTGATGTGGGGAAACAAACATCAAAACGAAGAGTATCAGACAATTAGAAATGAACACACTATTCACTTCAACATTACAGAACAGTTAGCAATGAAAACAGATGAGACACAGGCAATACCTGGAGTAACAAAGCAAGGTGGTAGTCCTTTTGAGATCATGAAGAAGGAAGCAGGAAGGAGAGCAGTAAAGTAAAAGAAGCAGAGTTAAGGTTTATTTAAGCTAAGGTTCATATGCCATTTAGAAAAAGTCTTTTATTCTTGTGGCAAATCACAAGCAGCTTTGTGAGAACCTATACCAGCACAAGACCCAAGAAGACTAAGACCAAGTGTGAAGCATACCACTTATGCAAAATGTTTGCACTATTTTCATAAAGCCTTGGATACTGAAAGAAGAAAAGGTATTTCAGCTTCTGTGGCCATGTCTGGGATAACTGAAAAGTGCTACGTAGTGTGCTAAAGAAAAGACCTGTCACAACTGCAATGATCCCCAGTTGAACAGAAGAAATAGTATACACAAAAAGCAGTGACAGAGGCATCAGTCAACAATTAGTTTGTCATTACTTTTGCACTACTGAAATTATGTATTTTTCTCAGTTTCATCATGGACATATGTATCTTTTACCAAAAAGTCACTTCTGAAAACAGTCATTCAATATGAAAAGTTTCTTATAAGCACTCCCTTCTCTAACACAGAAGAGTACTAGAGTCACTGTACTTCTGACAATGATTTAGGAGTCTCTTACATACTATATTTAACATTGCTTTGGTCACAGGCTTTAGACAAATACAAGAATACAAATGCCTCTTCTCAAAAAGCTCTTTAAGCTTGTTAAAAGAAACACTATGATTATTATAGCATATTGGAAGAGTGAAAAGTCATTTCCCTACTTCAACAGTTTGCTAATTCAACTCAGGAGCCATCAGTCCCTTCTTTTGCAATGCCTTCTTTGAAAAGGGCACAACATGCAGGACTGCAATAACTTCCTATGTGTAGCCCTCTCACATTGCCAGCAATTACGTTAGATTACTAATTTCATACACTGATGAAAATTATTCTCATCACTAGTTAGGCCTGTACCTTGGGGCTATTTCAGAACCTTGTGGCTTTGGTTCTTAGAAACTCTTAACTCTCAGCATGTTTACCCAAAATTACTTCATTCAAACACTTGTACTTTTCAGTGGCAGTGCTACATTGACAGTTGTACTTAATGATCTTAAAGGTCTCTTCCAACCTTGATGATTCTATGATTTTCCTCTGTAAAGTAACTGTGATTCCTCTTTTAAAGTTGGGGCTTGGTGATGTTTTGTTGTGGGTTTTTTTGTTGGATTTTTTTTTGCCTTACACCCAATAGAATTAGTCAGAGTAAAAGCTTCAGTTGAGAACAAAAATGTATAATAGTATGTCAACCACTGATATACATATGTAATTTAACAATTTGTCTAATCAAGTATGATAGTGAAGCTTGAATGAATTGCCAAAACCTGATAAAAGTTCTTTCTGATTAAAAAAATATTTTCACTTAGCATGGAATTTATCTAGAATTAATAACCTACCTCCTCTCCCTCTGCCCCCTACCTCTGCTTTGCTTCTCACTTCTCTTGAGAAAGCTTGGGAAAGGATATAGATACAAGTGCCTGAAAAAGAACACAGAACTACTTCCCCCCGCCCCCTATAACTCAGTGACCAGCACTGCTTGACCCACATTGCCCTGTAAAGAGAGGGATGGTTTTTCGGACCAAAGATTAAGGTCTCAGTGTCCCTGCCAATAAGGGTGACAATTGTGCATAAATCAATTCAATTAATCTTTTTCGGCCTGATCAAACATTTATTTTAAGACAGGGACAAGGCTTAGATGCCAAGACCTAGAGAAGGAAAACTGCAATGCAGGCTCACAGGTTGGGAGGCACCTCAGGAGGTCTCCAGCTCAGCCTCCTGCTCAAAGCAGGGTAAACTGTGGGATCAGACCAGGTTGCTCTGAGCTTTTTTCAGTCAGGTCCTGAACACATCCAAGGATGGAAACTGCATCAACCCTACAGTAAACTGTTCCCTTGCTTGGCTGTCCTCATGGCAGGCTTTTATGTTCCTCTGAAGTCTTCTCCAGCCTCTCCTCACAGGGCAAGTCCTCAAGCCTCCCTGATTATTTGAGTCTCACCTGAACTTCATCCAGTTTATCAGTATCTTTTTTGTATTGGGACCCCAGCTGGATGCAGTATCCTGGATGCAGTATCCCAGATGCAGTCTAATGAGTGCTGCATGGAAAGGGATAATGGCTTTCCTCAACCTGCTGACTGTGCTCTTGTTAAAACAGCTGATCCCAAACGTTTGATATAGAGTTTTAATGCAGAAGCATGCAACTTATCTATAACTGCACCATCACTTTAAGACTTGCTCAAATCTCCAGGATGAAGCAGTCAGCACTGAAATGGTGTAGTAGGTACTGCTCATTAATCCATAGTAGCTTTAGAATTTACTGTGCTGTGTTTCACTAAAAATATAAAAGCCCAAAATGAGACCTATTATTCTGGCAGTAGATTGGAGTAGTCAAGGTAACAAGACATCTGCCTGCACAGGTTCACTGCCCCTTACTGTCACATACCATCTCTGAAGTTAAATATTTAATGCCAAACACATTTTAGTAATTTTTAGTATTAGAGAGTTATACATTCAATTATACCAAGATTGGAATGAGAGAAACTAACTGTAGAAAGCATTTCCCTTTACACAGCCAAGGCAGACAATCCAAAGAAATCTGATACCACAAATGCCCATCTGATACCACAGCATGCATGCTGTGTGCTTACCTTTGAAATTTCCCTTTCAAAGAGAAAACTTTACCCTGCATATTGGGACAGATATCAAAGAATTATTCCACTGTAATGAAAGTTCTTAGACATTCTTGACACAGATCCGTCAACAAATGCCCAGGCTTTTCACAGCAGAAGCCAATTCTGGCTATCTGCTTTCCTACTATTAATTTAGCAAAACATTAGTACCTGGAAGGGCTCCATGATATCAAGAATACTAAAATTCTAGATAACATCATTAAGTAACATGCTATTTCTATGAAAGCCAGCTTATCCTGTTAAATGACTTAGGTTTTTTTAAGTAAAAAAGCCTCACACTGACATGCAACTCCTCTTAAACATCACAGAAAGATGAAACAAGAACAACTAATTTCTGTTAATTAGAACATGAGTAATATGATTTTTTTTCCCAAGATTTCTCAAACATGTCTTGCTCTTTGCTGTCTACTTAACACTACCCATATCTGATCTTTCAGCTGCAAAATCAAAGAAGTTTCACTAACTGGAAGGCAATTTTATGGTGCAACCCAAAGTAAAATTAGGACTATGAAATCACACACAAGTTAAACAAGAAAATGCCCTACTGAAGTTAACTCCTGTAACTCAGCATGTGCTTCATTGTAAACGTAAAAATCAATATAAAACACATTTTAAATGAAGTTTCAAACACTCCTGCAAGCTTCATATGGGACAGAAGCAAGACTATAAAAATACAGAGCTTTACACCAATGTGGTAGGAACACTGTAGTAATTAGTTCTCATTAGAGACGTATTGATTACCATGTCATCATTAGCAAATCCTAACTTCAGACTACTCCCTATTAACTGTCTATAAGATTAAATAGATACAAGAAGACAGAGTGCAACTCTTTCCACCTGCCACTTTTCATTGTAATTCTAAGTATGGAGGTTATCAGGTATCAAGAGATAAGAACACAAGATAAAGAACAACTTTAGAATTGAATACTGATTTTATATGGAAGTTTTATATATTATTTTAAAGTTAGATACTAGTTATCCAGTCATATTTTTCGTGAGAAACCCAAGAAGATGATCTTGATATTTTTCTTTTCAGGTGATGACCACTAGCTGTTAGAACATATTTCTGATCATCTGTTTCAAAGCTCTTACCTTCCAAAACAGAATACTACAGTGTCGACAGAAATGCAAGGTGTCCCCGTACTGTTCCTTTATTGGGTAATATTTCTGAAGTGCAAAGTACATCAACTTCCAGTCAATGTGACCTTTCTCTGATGGAATCAAATGCCTACAAAACTAGACATAAAATTAATACCTTCTTTTAAAATTGTAATGAAATCAGGTAAAGGGTGGGGGAAGATGGGGAAAAGGTAGTTAAACTGAAGTTTTGTAACTAGAATTCTTTGAAGACAATATTCTGACATCATACATCTCTGCAAAGCAGTGAGAGAGACCTGGCCACAAAAAAAAAAGAAAAAAGATGGATGGCAAATACTAAAAATAGAAGTGTGCATATTTGCCAAGAAAAAGTAGGCTATACACAGCTGATCTAACTCTACTGTCTCAAAATGATTCTAATTATAGTTAAGAACCATTTAACAAAACCAGTATTAAGAGCTGTAAGTAATTAATTTTATACTTTTTTAAAAAAACTGAGGAATGAGATTTAAAAACATGATCATGCATTACAGATCAAAGTTTTCTGTTAAAACATTAACTATGGATTTAAATAATGCTTTTTTTTTAATTTTAAAAGCATATACATGATTTTTTTCACATTTGGTGATCTTTCTAGAAGGATAGCAATAATCAGTGATTGTTGTACTTCTTGGGGACCTAATCTCCATGTAAAGCTTAGCTGATGCACAACAGCTATTTTTCCCCAGCTTAATACAGCCAAGGTTTATTAAGCATGTATTTATAAAAGGCTTCTGTTCCACTCAGTGTGGACTAATGCTAATACAGTGAGGGCTTTCTTCTTTCAGAAGACAACTCCTAGATGGGGCAAATAGCACTGCCTTTCTGATTTCAGCTACACTTGATTTCACAGTAACTTCCCTGTTTGAAGGTCTCATTTTTTCCAAAAGTGCTTTTCAGATGTCAAGTATGTTTTTGTGGTTGTTTCAATGGTTCAACAAATACACTGAAGAGCACAGAAAAAACAACCTAACATGATTCTGTAGCTTATTAAGGCAGTATACTTGAAAACAGAAGAAGCACAATTTTGGAGCAGCAGATATGGGAAAATAAATAAAATCATTACATTCCTATCATTAATAACTTAGCAAGAAATTGAATGTGAACATTCAGGAACACACTGGAAACACTCTGTACAAGTGTTCTTTATGAGGCACATGGATAGTTAATTCTACTAAATTCTGAAGAGATCTTCCAGCATTACCTTAGTATAACAGCTTCCTCTCCTACCAGTTTTGTCACTGTTCAAAAGAGCTTTGCTCATCTACCCTCAAAATACACTCAACTGCTACCTAAGCTTAAATTTCTTATCCTCATAATTTCACATTGCATTCTTCTCAGCTTCTGAAGGAAGGTTTTTCAGTTTCCTTTTGCCCGTTTATTTTCTCCAGAAACTTAATTTTAAAGCCTTTCATCTCACATAAAATTCTTATTTGGGTTAATTGATCTTCACGTCTTTCTTTTCTGTTATAATGATACTTAATCTGGTAGTCACCAACCAAATGGTGCCGCTTCAACCTGTCAGATTTAAGAATGGGCACTTTTGCTTCCTCCATTCTGGAATGTACCAGGATTTTAAAGTTCCTCCTCCAGTTCTGACGTAACTACCACTTTCATAGGCTTATTTTCACCTAAACTGATTTTGTCCCAGCATTTATTATTGCCAGAAAATTAAGACAGTTCTGGAGTCATTCCTAGATTACGTTAATGCTCTTTATGAGGAAGTGACAGAAAAGCACCATTTCTTTTTTTGTTATTAACTTCAAAATCTCAAGCATTTGTTCTATTCTTTTTTGCAGAAATCCAATTTTGGCTTCACTAGACTATTCATGTAGCCTAAAAGTTCAAGCAATCTGTCTGACTACCTTGGTTAGTAAAACAAGTTCTACTTTAGCTACTAAAATTAGGAACACCTTAGAGGTCTCCTTTACCGCACTTGTTGGGGATTGTGCAGTTTTTAAAGAAACATCTTTTGAAAAAACAGTTTTTAAAATAATGCAAGGAAACAGCCCAATAGTTATCCTAAACTCACAGACATGCTGAATACCATAGTTAGTAGGAACCAAGGCCCCCCAAAAGAACCCCTTCACTATTACTCCACAATGTCACACTTACCTCAAAAACTGTGAGTTCACACTTCATTATTGGTACACCATATCACAAAGGCTACATTTATACAAATGTCAGAGTTTATTACCTGCTTTTCCGCAAAATGGTACTGGCAGAGTTTTTTCCACAACTGTCTGTCTTCACTAAGCATATACAAAGTTGGGGTCACTTGACCCAGAGTAATAATGTCCCAGCCATCAGAGAACCTGTATAAGATGTTATTCAGCATATGGAGAGGGAGATCCATAAGCGTAAGACCATTGTTGACTTGCTGGAAATAAGAGTTGAAGACTTTTAGCTACAAAACCTTGACAGTATAAGGTGCAAATAAGATTCTTACTTTAAAGGTATCTCAGGCCTTAGTTGTTCGAAAACATTGAGTAAAATCTATGGTTAAGTCTTGCCTACCATTATTCTCTAACTGCTGTTGTTGAAAATTTTAATGATTAGAGATACAGAAGGAGCTACAGACTGTAGCTTTATAACTTATAGCTTTTCTACAGTTAAAATAAACACATCCTAAATCATTTATTTAAAGTTCAAATAATTTTTAAAACACTTCTTACAAAATAATAGTATGCAATCTTGAAAACTACATATTTTCAATATGTATATACATATATTCAATTCCACCTTTGAGATAAGTGTGCTAAAGCCCTAACTATAATAAAGATATGAACCAATTATTTCTAATCTGTAGGATCACTACAGTTTCTAAATTTTTATTAAGAAACAAAGCACATGTCAATTTGCCTTAAGACAACTAGAGTACAAAAGAGAATACAGAATGCAGAAATATGGAAGGAAAGCATTTTGGAAGTCAGTGGAAGAAGAGAGCAAGCAGGATAATTTCTGAAGTCTGGAGATAGTTCCCCTTATACATAAATGAGAAGTTCTGCAGAGGTGTTTGAATAAAGCACTGAGAAAGTTTTCACTGGGACTGTACACCTCTGGGAACTTGAACGGGTTAACCTACGGCACAGCTCGTATAAGACTAACCCTGGAGCCCACAGTGCCAGGTGGCACAAAACCCAAGAGGCTGGAGGCAGTGTCCCAGCTGGGGAGGGAGGGAGCATGGGCAGTGCTGGCCCCACCCAGCAGAGCTGCCCCAGCACAGGGCACTGGCAGCAGAGCAGCTGTGCTTCAGCAGGCTCTTGCTTCTATCGGCTTATTTCACAGCCACCCATCTCACAGACTAGACTTTCCATACTGTCATCTGTTATAAACACCTCGGGACTATCGTTCTGTTGAGGAATACGTGAGCACTACAGATGCAAGATTTCACATTGGTGATTCCAGCCAATGTAAAACAGCTCCGAGGGAAGTGTCACGCTGGAAAGAAACCAGCGCAGCAGTAACTGCAGTGTCTGTGCTGTGGTTGCCTGGCATATGAAAACTGCTGAGATCGGGTTCCCCATTTCTCCTTTCTATTCCAAAAGTAGTTGGTTTATTCAGATACCTAGCACACACAAAAAGGACTACTTCAAGATTTCATAGCTGACAGCCAATAGGTGAAACACTTGTACGATTTTACTGTGAGCAATATCTTGCAGCATTTCTTCCTCCAGGAGTAACCCAGTCTGATTAAAAAAAATTGCCTGCTTATCATCAGAACTTTCCACTATAAACCCCTGGACCACTGCATACCACATGCTTTGAACATGATGAGAATCCAGATGCTGAAGTCATTATACTTCCTTTTTTTCCTTTCCTTTTTTTTTTTTTTTTTACAAAAAGCAACTGTGCTTCTGCAAAATTGCTACTTGAATATTTTCTTCCTTGATACATCTCTAAAATGCCTTTTAGATTTTTATTTCTTCAGTTGTAGAAAATTTACTTTGGAATTAAAAATTGGTATTTTTTCCATTTCCATCTGACAATCTAGAGACAAACATTTTGAAATTCACTTTAATGAGCAAAAACATTATATCTATACATCTCTACCACAAACCAGCAGTACAGAGCTATTAAAACTTTAGAAAAGTAAGTTGATTCCATTTCATTAGTTTCATACTACTTGTTTAAAAACAAAGAAAATAAGTAAAACTGTTTAAAATGTATTTGGAATCCCCTCCCCAAATTTTATTTAACATGATTTAATAACATACCTTGTTCATCTGAAGGTTTTTTAATTGTTGCTGCCACAGAAGGATAGTTTCTAATCGGCAAATCCAAATATTGATGTTCCCTACCAACACAGATTTTCCTACTCCCCTAATCAGTATACAGAGAGTAGAACTCAGATCCTGTAGAAGATCTTTGATTAATCGTGGATTGTATTGGTCTTCCATGACTGGAAAACACAACAAACCAAATACAAGTTTGGCTGAGTTAACCAAGCTAACAGTTACCTCAAAGTAATCAACACTTTTTTTAGATGAATTAATTAAAACTCAACTGTTTGTGTACAAATAGCTGCCCTAATTCCCACTATGACATTCATTAATGTTGTTCCATACATGCAAGATCAATAATTAACAATTCCACAGGCAAATTTGATGCAACATTTCATGCTACACATTTAATAAACCTAATGCTAAACAACAAGTTATAAATCCAATTTCTTCTCTTCAAGGTGGATAGTATTACAGCTCCATTTAGTGGGATTACCAGAAGGAAAAAATAAATCAGTATTACGTAATAGCTTTTAAACAAAATAAACAGAACAGATATGTATTTCAAGTTTCAGTACATCACACAAACATAAAACCAAACACTTTATTAATCTAAAAGCATTCACATTTCATGAAGAGTATAATTCAGTAGTAACCAATAGATTCTGAATAGAATCTAATTGTCTAAATTCCACCAACCTGCTTCAATAGACATTATTCAATGACCAAGAGAAAACAACTTATTGCAATTGTGGGATGGGAGGTATGAAACCTTGCAATAAATCAACTGATCCCTTAGTCACAGCAACTAAATCTGATGAAGCAGATTACAAAACCTTAGGTCTTACCCTTCCGCACAATTTTATCCAAAATGTTAAAGTAGTTCTTCTGTGCTGCACCACTCAGTGAAGTTAACTGGGATTTTGCAATTAGCTGCAAAAGCTAGGACAAAAAAATTAAAATTCAGAAGAATGACAGAAGTAAAGGATGGTTTTAAATGCACACTTTCAGTCATACACTCACCTACAACACTCTAGATCACACAACGGCATTTTGTGAAAATATAAGTATAGAGTTCAGAAAAAGTAAGACAAACATGGAAAAATTTAGGCATTCCCACTAGCATACCATGAACAACTCCTGAAGGATGTACATTTTCAAAATACTATGTGAATAGTAGTGTTTATCTCTGACAGAGCACATGACATATGGACTTTAGGAGCCGTAGTGAAACAATGAAGAGAGTCTATTTTGGAGGCTCACAAATACAAATATGAACTTCAATGTGGCTGGGTCCTGAAACTCCTGAGAGATTTGGTGGCCAGGAACATCACTCTGAACTGATACCTGCTTACCAGAGTTCCAATTTCTGAGTGAAAGTATCATACTGGTCAAACTGAAGTGTGATGGATTTAGTGCAATACTTTCTACTCATGGAGAAGAAATACCATATTTTACCTAAACTAGGGGAAAAAAATTTCTACATTACTCCTACACTCAGGTCCCTAGTAGAATAAACGACAGTGATCTAATAATGAGCAGTGTACAAAACATATTAGTAACTTTCCCTTAACTAAATAGCAAGGATCTCCTTGCTATTCACACATCTCTCTCTGAAAACCCTGTGAGCAGAAGAGTGGCAAGAACAGTGGGAATGGTTTAGGGCAAAGTAATCAGAACAGCCTAAATTCTTGGTGCATGTAAATGCCAAGCTACAGCTACTAGGGGCAGCCCTTGCTCCATTATGGCACCTTTGCTTTTACACTTTAGATTCAGTTTTGTAGCTGGTAAGAACCATTGCCTTTTCAACAAAAAATGGTCTCCATATGAAATATGACTTCAATGTTGTGACAGTATTACAATGGTTAGAAGTGTGGCCCTGAGCTTTGCAATTGCACTTTATAATGACTAGTTCAGAACAAGTGTTCTCAACACATTGGAAAGCGAAAGCAGGGAGCAGAAGCCAGCATTCCCTGCAGAGCACTCTCAGGACTAACCTACAGAGCCCTGCTGTATAGGATAGCATCCAGTGTTGGCACAGAAGGAGAATAAAGACTAAGCCTGCCAAAAACTATATTGTATCTTCATTTCTAAACCGCCAAATTGGCACTTCACTCAACATTAACTTTCTTTTGGAAAGAGGGAATACACCTGTTCTCTCCCTGATTTAATAATGTTCCTTCTGTCTTCTCTGTACGATCCCCGACAAGACACTATGTGCTATGAAAGGAGGAAATAATTTTCTTGATGTACTTAAATACAAGCAATCTAGTCTCAAAAACGGTATAAAAAGGATCTCTTTCTTGGCGTTTTCAAAGCCTTTTAGTTTGATTAATAATTTAGAACACACCTAGAGGTCTCTGTCAGTTTGCCAGTTCAAGTAAGTATGTATATTTCTCTTGATTTATTTAAAAAAATTCAGTTACGTTACTCAGTTTGGAAATCAAATCAAAGAAACAGATTCCACCTAACTTATTTTAATGAAGTTTCCAATTTCAGTTAAAGTTAATATGCAAGGACTAAGGCAATTTTAGCAGAAGTAAGGTAGCATGAGTAAAAGGATCTGACACACAAGTTCAGTCTTATTAATGTGTGTAAAGCCATGGCTTATGTTGTCTACTAGAGAATATAACTTTGAATAGATCATCTGTTTACTCAAATGAAAATATGTGGAAAAAACCCATATCAAACTCAATGTATCAGCATTTAACAGCTACAAAATTATCGATCTACTACAGCACAAACAAGTACAGAAAAACAGCTTATCCTACCTTCTCCTTCTCACTGCCCACACTAAAAGGGTCCTGGACAGACATCTATATTAACTTTAAATAATGATTGGCAGATTCTTAGTTAGTTGGAGAATCAAAATGGATCATTCTGGTGGTCTGGAATCAAAGAAGAGCTACCTAGTAGGGCTTTAGAAAAAGTATTCCTCATTTATACTTTGCTACCTTTAAATGGAAGAGGCAGAACAGCACACATAAAAGTAATCGTAACTGTGTTCATGCATAACTAGAAATAATCCTTAGAGAAGAAGAAATAGGAACGGCTACACTGCATTAAATGAGCTCTACACAAAGTATTGTCACCATTAGAAACTTCAGGAAAGTAAATGAGAACTCATGTAAAGCAGATAGGCACGGGATGAACTGCTTCTTTTTTTTATTAGGTCTCAGTTGCAGACTGGTTTAAAATCTGAGAGAGTAGACTAAACATTGTTCTTAAAAGTCTGTGGCAACTTCACATATTACTGACATCTGCTCAGATGTTTTTATTTGTTAGACAGAACACCACATATGCTTCTCAAGTCCACAAGTTCTATGGCTAAAGAATGAGCAGCAGCTGTTACTCATATCAATCATGTTTATTAGCATCTTGGTAACTTTTGAGGTCTTATGTACCTGTTTATAAAAGTCAGCTTGCCTCTACCACCTCAGAGGAACTGATATGAAAACTTAATTGTACCTTTGCATTTGTAAAACAATCCTAAATGTTAAAAATTTCAAATAAATTCTAAAATGTTAAAATGCCTGCTATTTGAATTTCACCCTGATTGTTTAGGTCTACCATTACTAGAGCAATGGTTTGGATTGCAAAGCCAAATTTCTGAATTTTAAAGTAGTGCTTTCTCAGTGATCTTAAGCCTGGGTGACAACACCAGCATTTTATAGTCTTTGGTGAACAGAAGAAAAACTGGTCAACGTGCTTATGTTACACTTTGCACTTTGTTCCGATCAACTGTTTTAAGCAATCCAGCTTAGGCACTGCAGCATCAAAAAAACATGTAGAATTCTAGATTTGCATTCATTCTACCTGTTTTCCATTCAAGTAAGGCACTCAAGGTTGACACCATTTATAACACAAATCACCTTTTTTAGATGCTTTTTTTTCTTCCTACTGTTCAAGGCTGAAAAGTCTTGGGTAGGATTCCTGATTCCGCTCCCAAAACAGCATTAAAAAGTAATGCTCTAAACCACAACACACACATACAAAAAACCCCCAAAGCTACAAGGGGAATAAACCAGGCAAGTACCCTAACCACTAGCCTGGAAACAAATCCTTTTTGCTTTGTTTCCACATCTCTTGTTTTTCTGGGAGTACAATACATTGCCTCAGCTTCACAAGGATGGATAGAACATGTTTTCTCTCCAAATACTCTATAGCCTAGTGGTAAGGGTGTTCTCCCGGTATGTTTATTTAATTTTGATTTGCGTCTTTTAAAGTTCTGGGTGCATTCCAACCACTACATTGTTTGTGAACAGCCTCACCACCGAGCTGAACTCTAGTCCTGATATGACTCATTTTGAGCTTCCCTAGGAGTTGGGACAAGAACTTTATTATCTCAAGTTAGATGAAAAAAAACCCCTGAGGCTAAAAGAAGATCAGTATCGCCCAGAACAGGCATTTCCAAGTGGGCAGCTGGTTAGTCATTAAGGAAATTAAGGCAGGAGTCTCAAGTTTTAAGGGATATTAACAAAGATAATTGCATAGATATCTTGTCCTAGATAAAAAAAAAAAAAAAAAGTGTGGAATGAATCACAGGACTGTTAAGAAGTTGCAGAAGAAACAGAAACTGCAAAATATTTACACATCAGATATTCTTCTGGAAATCGATATTTTAAGCATATTTAAGATATAGCAAAGTATATTTGTGATGAATTACACTTTGCTGGTTTTGGTTGTATAGAAATTATTTTGCCTTTAAAGAAAGTTCACTAACCAGACTGATGAACAGCAATTGAAACTACCATAAATGTTTCCCTCAAAATACACAGCACATTGGCCATCACCATCCTCCTCAAGCTACAGGCTGTCATACAGCAATATAATGAGTTTTCACCAAATAAAGATTACTCAGTTTAAGGTTGCTTCATGCAGTATAAATAACATATGAACACGATATTTATACAGTTACAAATCATCTGTTCAGTGCAAAAATATTTCTTTTGTACACATAGGCACACCAGCAAACGCATTTTTATAATATGAACATAAAATAAAGAGCTCACTTTGACCACGTAATTGAACCTTCTGATGTCCTGAATTGCACTTGAAAAATCTAAGCGGTTAAAAGCTTCTCCCAAGGTGCAATAGCCGTGTCTCTGAGAAGAAAAAACACACTTTAAGTGGAAAGAAACAAAAAGACAAAATTGAGCATGGATGCCATGCTCCCTGAAAATACAATGTATCTGGACTGAAGAGTTATTTACTTTCTTGTAGAACAAATGAAAACAGATACGCTGTTTAGAACTAATAGGTACATAACCAAGGCCTTTCAATTCATACTAATCATGCAGTCTGGAATCACTGGTATTGGAGTGCCCTGGGAATCTACTCCACTCTTGCACAGCCATGATGTTGGCACCCCCTCATGGATATCACACTCCCCATTTGCCTCAGCACAAGGAAGAACTTGCTTGTACAGCAGTCTGAGCCTACAACCAGAATTATCTGATTCACATCTGAGGGTAAGAGCACAGGTAGTTGCTTTTAGGATTGGAAGAACAAATGGTGTCAACATCTAAAATTTATTTTCCAGGTGCTAGAAGCTTAGGTGCCTTTTTTTTTATGTCCCAAGAGCATGAGCAATTGCATTTTCTTTTGGTATTTCCCCATAGGTATCTTAAAGTAAATATGGAAGTTTCAGAGGGTGTTGTGAACTACTTAAGGTGGCAGTAGCAGCCCAAAATGACATGGGATCTGAGCACATTTAGAACCACAAAGCCACATGGGAGCCTAGAAGAAAATATAATGATACTAGAAAAAAAACAACTCCCTAACTGAAAAGAGAGATTTGCAGAGCAGTGTGCTAGTATGGTTTATTAGCCCAGGAAGGAGAAGGATAAATAATTATTTGAAATTCATTCCTAGACAGACTTCCTTGGTGAATTATGTGATGGTGACAAGATGGCAGTACAAATTAACATTCCTTTTTGTGACCCAAACAAAGCTTACCCTGGGTGCATCCCAGTGGGACAGGGGACAGTTATCTCCTTGCTGCAGAGTGGTGGTAATTATTGCCTATTGGTTAGTGATCAAATTTGGGATTGTACTCCTTGCTAATCCAGTTCATATATCTCAGATCCAACTGTGCTGCACACTTCACAATGTGCACATCTTGGTTGGTTAATTGCAATGAATTAACACTTACAGACAACAGAACTTTTGTTGAAATTTAAGTATTTGTGTCTATTCTTTGGCTAAAGAGTTATCAAAAGGCTAGCTTAAATACATTAACATGAGAGACACATTTCCTTGAACAGTTGGAAACGGATTTCTATGAAAGCTCTGCCTTTCCCAATGCACCATCATGACAAAATTACTCAAAAAGCATCCCTTACTTCATTTCAGCTACACACCTGCACTTGTTTTGGCTTTCTTTATTTTCAGTGCTCTCCCATGGCATGTTTCATAGGTTTCTTATCAAGACCTTCCTACTCTTGTCATTTTGCCCTAACAAGCTGTATCCAGTTTAGAAAAAAATGTTTCCTGCTGGTGAGACAGCAATTTCAAAATCAAATAAGATTATAACTTGTAAGAAAAACTAGAGCCTCTGTAAATTATGTTTCAGATTAGCTTAAATTGTTGTTCTGAATTCTTTTGTTCAACTGTGCTTATTCCTTGCTATTGGTACTTTTTGATTCTGCTACTTTTTTTAACTTTTTAGTCTAAGCTTTTGAATTTACATGAAGAATTTCTTGAAAAGATTAGTGATTAATTCTAACCATCCCTGGCTAGTTTTTTATAAAAATCCCCTCCAAAACCCTTGAAAAGTCAATGGTCAAATATTAGAAGACAACCAAAATATTTTTTTCACTCTCTGAATGGACAAGAAATCCAAGCAAATACTACACATCACTAGTACACCAACTTCTACAGGAGCAGCAGAAAAAGTAATCCCAACATATAGGTTATGAAGGACAGCAATGAGAGATTTTAGGAGATTTGTTTGGCCTGAATGTAGTCTGAAAACTAAGCCTAACAACCTTATCATTCAAAACACCATAATGATTGGTGACAGTCTGTCATCTCCCTTTCCTTCTTACCCTAAATTTGAGATGGCACAAAGGGAAAGAGCATGCTTGAGACTTTTGTAGACCAATGTAAATAACCTTATCTAGAAGACAGAGTTGAAAGAGGGCTTTGAATCTGGTGAAAGGCTTTACAATTACCTTCAGATGTAGAAGGGCAGTCTCTGGGTCACTGATCTACAAGGTGAAGTCTTCCAGTGTGTCCTCTACCTAAGCTCTCTCCACAATACCATGCTCTTCCTGAGTACAAATTTCTGTATGGTCTCTCTTAGCTCATAAATGCAAAGCCAAATTTTGCCTGCATGACTCACCTGCTTCCTTCTCTCCACGGCATTACTATGTGGATGCAAAACATCCTTACTGGTGTTCAAGTTCCACCCATCCCAGATAACCATAGGAATCAACATAGGAATGAAACTCAAACTTCAAGACAGTTTATATCTACATAAAATGGATGGCTTTCCAAGAGTTCATTCCAAGATCTTTCATGTTCCTTTTACAGTTGCATGATACAGTTTATATCCCAAACTGAAAGCATTGAATATAAAGGTCCTCTTTGTAAAGTTTGAAACTGAAATTTTACTTACTTACATTCAAATGTACACCAAAATTCCAAAATATCAGGTAGCTGCCTGCAAGCACCTTCTTTGGAGAAACTTATCTGGTTTTGCACTTTCGATTTTAGTTCAAAGACAGACAGTACAAAGACAGATGGGCTTGGATAAGTAGTGGAGAACTGTATGTCCATCCTTGCAAGTTCCCACTTTGCCAGCTTCCTTTGCCTCACCATGTACAGGTGTGCTATGTTGCCAGTGAAGAGTTAAATACAACCCCTAAGACACACAGCACAAACGCTTTTTTTCAATATACAGTCTATCAATTAAGATGCACAAATATCACAGGAATTGACCCAGAGCATGCAGACTTACTTCCTTGGTGCTTTCTTTATGAACATAAATCCACTTTTCACGATAAAAACCTAAAATAAAATCAAAATACAAGGATTTTAGGCTTCCACTTTAGTTAATGTCTTCTAGAAAGAAACTGAACTAAACAAACAATAAAATGCTTTATAAGATAGGAGAGATGGCAGAACAGTTTTAATGAAGAAATTTATAAAGGCTGAAAAGGATGACTAAAATTTTTTACAAGTAACGTACTTCAAGAAAATAATGGAAGAGTTATATAATTAAAAAAAACCACAAAAACCACAGGAGTGAATTACCTTTGGATCTTTGAAAAAAAACCCAATAAGTGATCAATACCACAGCTTCAATTGAGACATATCACTTTTGACATGAGAATTTGTTACCAACACAGAAGTAAACATAATTTGGAAGGCTATTCTATGGGTGAATACAAATGAACAACTATAACAACATTTTTCTGAAGCTACATGAGTCCTCCAAAAGAAATGAGAAAACCCAGGCGTACATTGTGAATCCGTGTTATTCCCAAAATGATCTTTTTTCCTTTTCTTGGCTGCAAACTCACAGTCTTCAGTACTGTATACTTCTTTCTCATCATCCCCAGTTATGATGCTGAAATAAAAACATCTAATTAGAACAGCAGTGATTAAATATTTAAGATCCATACAGCTTACAATTTTCTGCATTAAAGTCTACCAGCTGAAAAAAACCCACCATATTCTTAATTAAGATCCTCTACCTGATTGTCTATAGCAATGTGTATCTTGAGAGAAGCTGTCACATTCTTTTCTTCCCAGTGCGGTTGAATTTTGTGTCAAAGTGATTAAGTACACAACAGTATCTTCCTAATAGGTATCTTTTAAGTCATTACTGACTTAGGAAGGACTACTAAGGAGTCAGCACCAGCTGGACAACTGCAAAGCTCTCCAAAGCTTTGGTGTACAAAAACTCATTATTTGAAATGGACCAAACCTTGAAAAACTGCACACAGGTATAAAAGTCAGTGCAGAATTGTTGCACATCCTTGCATAGGCAGAAAGCCAGCAAAGAAAGACATCTCTTACTACTGTCACCTTGGAGGGAAAGAAAGTCTTTCTTTTAAGAAATGCTTGAACCACAACACTGTACATAATATAGGTGTCATGGTATAGGTCAAGAACCAAGTGGTCTGTCTCTGCCAGAGAGACTCAACTATATCTATGTCACTTCTGACAGATAACTATGTAACCCAACACTGAGGACTATACCAAATAATTATGTATATAGTGCACAGACAATGTGAATATACATAAAAAAAATATATGGACAATAAACTATTAAAATAGGTTTTTTTGATAAAGTAACCTTTCTAAAATTTACATACATTTAAAAAACTGCCCATACTACAGGGAGTCTACATAGTTTCATAAAATCCATTTTTGCAGATATCTGTAAGGACCAGCAACTCAGATAAGAATGGGTGTTCATTTTTCTAGCACTGAGAAGGAAGATACTTCATATGAAGGCTATGGTCTTGCCCAGATAACCAGAATAACGAAGGATATCTGGTAGTGAAGTTTAACTATAAGACTATTTTATTTCCCCATTACTGTTCTTTGACAACAAAGTTGTATACAAAACTCCTCACTTTTGTTACTATTTTTAATCTCAGTTTGCCAGATGAAGCTATTTATCAACGTCAGTTTGAACTCCAAATTAAAACAACTGAACACTATAAAATGAAGGACATCAGTCTATTCAAAAATAACCTCTATTTGGCCATTAAGTGGCAAAAATTAAAATATTTTAGTTTGTTGCTACTAGCTTATACAGTTAAAATTTTCAGGCCTGAACCATCTGTTAGGGAGGATAACTAAACAACACTGTAAAAAAGCTCTGGATTTTTGATTGCTCCTATCAGTAAATGCTAGTTCAGCTTAAAGATACACAAGTTGAGAAGACTCAGAAATCAAAAGTTAGTTTCATCTTAGCTTTTCCTTTCTGGGATTTAAACCTAACATATCTCTGCATTCAGATAGTGCTCAATCCAAGGACCTTAGTTCATGCCTTAATATTTTTAAAGCAGAGAATAAAGACTCAACACCTTCAATATTCTATGCAACAGTGCTAAATATCACCTCTGGTCAAACAGCAAAAGAGTTCAGAGAGAAGAAACCACCAACAGGCAAAAGCAAAGCAACTAACAAAAGCACAACATCAACTCCAAGTTATTTGATTATGCAGCATTCCAATCCATCAGGTTTGGGGTTTTTTTCCAAAGCTTTCATAAAGGAAATCTCTTTTTAAGATCACTAAAAATTAATTTAATTATGTTTCAACATATTGGCTGCATCACCATGTCATGTGAGAGGTTATTGCAGAATCTGAAGAATTGCTGCAGAATCAGAAATAGAGCCCAATACTCCCAGAGCTTTATCATCCTAACAACAGACAGAAGACTAGGGAGATATGTTCTGATACTTTGCAACATAATCCAGGCAGCACAGAAACTCACTCATTCCCATTGACCCAGGGAAAGCAATAAGGAGAGTATGGGAAGCTGCATTCCTGAAGGCCTGCCTTGAACAGAATGGTTAAACTGTAGAGATTCCTTCTTTTGTTCCTGGAGAGGAAGCATCCCTAGAAAGCAATTCAGACCAGTAACATACCTGAAGTGATTTAAAGCCCACTCCTGCCTCCCAACAACAGAGAATTCCTCAAGCATCAGATAAACAAGCAAGGCAGATTAAGTACAGTTAATAAATCACAGAATCACAAAATACACTGAGTTGGAAGGGACCCACAAGGATCATCGAGCCCAAACCCTAGCCCCGCACAGGACAACCCCAAGAGTCACACCATGTGCCTGAGAGGATTGTCCAAACATTTCTTGACCTCTGTCAGCCTTGGTGCTGTAACCACTTCTCTGGGGAGCCTGTTCCAGTGCCCAACTACCCTCTGGGTGAAGAACTGGACACAACTGGTCCTCTCACCAGTCACCACAGAGAAGAGATCAGTGCCTGCCCCTCCTCTTTCCCTCACAAAGAAGTTGTAACTGCAATGATGTCAACCCTCAGTCTCCTCTTCTCCAGGCTGAACAGACCAAGTGACCTCAGTCACTCCTCATATGGCTTCCCCTCAAGGCCCTTCACCATCTTCCTTGCCCTCCTCTGGACGCTCTCCAGTAGCTTGATATCTTTCCTATATTGCAGTGCCCAAAGCTGCACACAATATTCAAGGTGAGGCCACACCAGTGCAGAGCAGAGCAGAGCAGGACAATCCCCTCCCTTGACCAGCTGGTGACGCTTTGCCTGATGCCTCCCAGGACACAGTCGTCCCTCCTGGCTGCCAGGGCACTGCTGGCCCATATTCAACTTGTCATCGACCAGGACCCCCAGGTCCCTTTCCATGGCACAGCTTCACAGCATCTCATTCCCCAGTCTGTATGAACATCCAGGGTTGCCCCATCCCAGGTGCAGAATCCAGCACTTCCCCTTGTTGAACTTCATGTGGTTGGTGATTGCCCAGTCCTCTAATTTGTCGAGATCTCTCGCAGGGCCTCCCTGCCTTCGAGGGAGTCAACAGCTCCTCCCAGTTTTGTGTCATCTGCAAACTTGCTTAGTATCCCTTCCAGTCCTGTGTCCAAGTAATTTATGAAGATGTTGAAGAGCACAGGGCCTAAGATGGAGCCCCACGAAACTCCACTAGTGACAGGTCTCCAGTTTGATGTTCCCCCAATCACTATTACCCTCTGTGCTCGACCCGTGAACCAATTGCTCACCCACCACATGATGTGTTTATCCAGTTGTGTGCTGGATATTTTGTCCAGAAGGATCCTGTGAGAGACAGTATCCAAAGCTTTACTGAAATCCAAAAAGATGACATCATGTCCCCCTGATCAGCTAGGTGGGTTACCTTGTCATAGAAGGAAATCAGGTTTGAAAAGCAGGACTTTCCTCTCATGAAGCCTTGCTGGCTGTGACCAGTGACTGCGTTATCTTTCAGGTGTTTTTTAGTATCTCCCAAAATAATCTTCTCCACAACTTTACCAGGGACTGAAGTGAGACTGACAGGCCTGTAGTTTCTAGGGTCCTCCTTCTTGCCCTTCTTGAAAATCAGGACAATGTTCACCAGCTTCCAGGCAGCTGGGACCTCTCCAGAAGGAATTGTGAAGATGAAGAGGATATTTCAAACACCTTTGTCTAACATTTAAATTTGCCTGTGACATTCCTGGAATTCTTCATGTCTTTTTAAAGAAAAGACAAATTGGACTGTTCCTTCTGAGGATCTCCTGATATGATGGTTTATTTCCTCATGTTCTGTCCCACTTCATGTGGAGAGTCTTTCCCTACTTATCTGTAAACACCACTACTCTTCTTGACAAACCTTAAATCTGAAAGCAAGAGTCCCACAGACATCAGAAGAATGGGACAGAAACAGAGGCAGTTCCCCAGTGACTACGAGCGTCCGTTCCTTCCAGAAACCTGCAGAGCTGCTTGGTGAGTAATAAAGCTGCTCTACCATCACAAAAGCAACTCCTACCTCCTTCAAACACCAAGCTAAGATACAATAAACCAAATCAAAAGCTGCACGTGCCATATGGTGTAACAGAAGCCTTAATGAAATGTTTTTATTATAATACTGCACATGACATCTGTGTGCACCTGGAAGAATTTAAATACATACATAATACTGCCAATTTACAGCTATTCTTACTTTCTTGTCTTGATGACGCACTTCAAAAAAAATTATTCTAAAGCTTTTAAAAGCAAAGTATCTGGTGTTCTTAGAACTATAATATTTTAGATAAAGCATGTAAGAACTTCAGCTTTTTCAAAAAAAATAATTTCATAGCAGTATTTAAATAACCTTTTGGGTATGACACTTAAATGATGGAACATATGACAGGGCTATCTGAGCTCCAGCTATTCTTCCTTAACCCCTTGCTTCTTTTCACATGGCCCTGAAGTCACGCAATTACATACAGAGACACACTAAGTGCTTTATAAGAGACTCAAAGCCAGGTACAGCCTGACCATGCACGGCAAATTCTGAAATAAGTGTCTGCACCAAATAACATGAAAATGTATTTGCCAAAATACTTTACACTGCGTACCACAATATGAAGGCCTGCACATGTCATAGGAGAACCTCAAGCCTGGGTATATGCTGGGTACAGACTGGATAGGAAGCACTTTTGCAGGAAAGGAGCCAGGAGTCTTGTGGATAAGTAGCTGAAAACAGGTCAGCAGTGTGCCCTTGTGTTGTATTAGGTCAACTGCACCCTGGTTTGAGTTAACAAAAGTGTATCCTGCAGACTGGAAGAAGTAATCATCCCTCTTTATCTGGCATGAGAAACTGCATCTGGAGTACTGTGTCTAGTATGGGGCTCCCCAATACAATAAAAACATTGTCATACTGGAATAAGTCCAGTGGGGAGTTACCAAGGTACTGGAGCACATGATGCATGAGGGTAAGAGAACTGACCTTGTTCACTGTTAAGAGCTGATGGTGGAGGGAAATCTGATTGCTGTCGATTTCTAATATGACGATATAAATAAGATAGAGCTGGACTGTAAGGTATGGGGAAGTGGGCAGTGCTAAGTCAAGTGGTAATGGACACAATCTGTGATAAGAAATTCTTACTAGACTGAGGGGGGGGCAAGAAGGGATGACACAACATGGGACAGGACAACAGCAAACAAAAAAATAACTTTGAGAGTAACAGAACTTAAAATAGGAGCCCAGAGAAGAATTTCCATTCTTGGAAATATACAAAGCTGAACTGGGCAAAGGTGAACTGGGCAAAGGCTGACCTTGCTTTGGGTACGTGTCTGGACCAGATGGCGCCCAGAGGTCATTTACACCCTAAATTGTTCTATAATGTTGTGCAAATAGACATTAATTGCTGCTTAGCAGCAGAAGTTAACTCACAGACAAGTAGTTCAAGCTGCAGTCAGATTGAAAGTTCAAGGTGCAATGAAATTATTCCAAAGTAGTGTTACTATGCCAAGAAGTATCAGCTTGAATTCCTTAGTCTAAATTTGGACAACATGCATTTTTAACTGAATAGACAGAAGTAGAATTTAAGAAAAAAATAAAGCTGCAAAGTTTGGCTTTGCTAAGTGGGAGATGTTTAAGATGAAGATGGGGAACCATTGCAGATGAGGATGCCTGCTGCAGACTAAGCTAGCCCCTAAGTCTGCGATTCTGACAAATTGGCAAGCTAGACTAAGAAACCCAAATCATGAGACACTGCAGATTGCATGGAAAATATTTTCGTCCTTAGTGCATTTCATGGCCAGTCCCTTCAAATTGAAGTATTTATTTAAAAATCCAGTATTTTTGCTCAAAGAAGCAATAAAAATACCTCACCTTGCTCTCTGGAGAAAAGATATATAAATATAGATATACAATTACAAGCAGAAGAGCAGAAGTCTTAATGGTATTCACAAAGACAATGATAATTTATTTCATACTTGTCAAGCAATACTAATTAAAGCAATCCACAAGATGTAATTATTTAGCAACTGTGTAAATAGCTTCAAAATTAAATTAGATTTCCTCTAATTTGCCAAGTATATTATTAAAGGTATGAAAGAGGGAAGAAAAGATTTTTTTTCAAAGGTATTTAAGGCAACTTTTATGTTGGAGGCTTACTGAACATTCTTCCACTGTTTGGTATCCACAATGGCCAGACTGTGTGAAAAAAGAAGCCCAAATATGATCAGTGACAGATGAACACAAAAGGAAAAAGGGTATGAAGAAAACAATAGTTCGAGACAAGCTTAATAATAATTCTTCACTGCTTAATAACTCTCTTGAGGATTATTTCACAAATAGAAAACACAGGTGTATGACTACAGCAAACCTCAGCTTGTCAGTAAATTCCCTCTAAATCAGATGAGTTATCATATCATTTATTGGACTAACAATATAACACTGAACATTCCCTTTCCTCATTATGAGCACATTATGCTGGAATTTTTGACCAAGAATGCTATCCCTGAGAATTACTTCTTTGTGGAGAAATCAAGTAGAAATTTGTTTTGACAAAGCTATTTATATTGCACCAGTCTGTGGGCATTTGCCACAAGTATTATTTTATTTATCTAATCTCTTTCTCACCCGTTTTACAGGAGCACATACAGTCATATATTGTATAAAAGAGAATGAGCATTAAGCTACCACAGATTGTATATTTGGAGCAAAGGCCTTATATGACTGCTATAAACAGAACTAATCCAACAGCTAGTCACCAGAAAGTCTGCATTCACTTCCTGGTAACAGTTCAATCTGCCTGTTGCACTTGCAATTTATATGTATTACTTCTACCTTCAAATAGTACTAGACAGGCTTTTTTCTTTTTCCGTTTTGGTTTGGGGTTTTTTGTTGGGATTTTATTATTGTTGTGGTGGAGTTTTTTGGTTTGTTGTTTTTCTGTTTTGTTTTTCTAATTTGTTTTTGGTGGGTTTTTTTGTTGTTGTTATTTTGGGGGGTTTTGTTTGTTTGTTTGTTTGGTCGGTTGGTTTCGTTTGGGGTCTTTTTACATATTTTTTATTTCATTATTTTTAAAGACATAGAAAGTAAGAAGGGATCTGGCTGCCTAAAATAAGCAACTCAGGAAGCAATGACAAAAGACAGACAATATCCATAAGGGTCTCCTGTCTGCCTAACTAAACAAAATACATGGCTGCATTTGTATACAGACAATATCAGCTACCACAAACAGTTGCACTGTGTTGGCTTCCCACCTGCCATTAACTCACGCAGAATGACTTCTTTTTTTAACTTACACAGTGTGGCTGATATCATTCAGCTGATTATTCCCATCCTCAAGTGCAGGACTAAAGGGCTCACATCGTTTCCATCCATCTTCTGTTTTAACCCATCTCCATCCAGGGGATCTCCAGTCTTGGCCCAAAAATGGCATGGTTTCTCTATAAGCAGCAAGAAGAGATTCTTTATGTATTATTTATTAATAAAAGATGCAAAACTTCTTGCCATTATTTCAGTTTTCTCTTTAACCTTAAAAACAAAAATATATACCTTGATGAAAGTTCTCTGTAGAGTATCCTTTAAAGAAACAGATTCAGTGGTTTAAGTACATTTTTTATTCTCTAATTCTTCTTGTCTTTAAGCATTTATTAGATCAAGGTAGGTTTCCTACCTAGTTCTTTAGAGAACGGGAAAAGAATGGTAGTCCAGGAAAAAAATTATTCCAAAAAAAGCAAAATTGTGATCAAACACATTACTGATTTTTATACATGACTAATAAATGGTTGTTAAAGAGATTGAGAGCCCACAAATTCAATGTTGATCCTTTTATTTTTTCTAAGGCTTATATATACTGAGTTTGTGCTACACTGTGCAGTAATGTTTCAGTAAGGGAATTTTCATTTTTCCAAACGTTTTTTCACTTGTTGTTGAAGGTCACCTCCCATGCCAGGCTATTGATCAGATACCAGCACAAAAGAAGACTGCAACATAAAGTCCATTGTGATATGTGTCCCAAAAATCTCTACAAACAGATGTAAGGTATGTCATTCAAACAGTGTTCTGCTACATTTTTTCAAAAGTGAGATTCACTTCTGATACATTAAGAATGTGAACAAAGCACTTTTCTATACTTTGAAGACTATGGCCTTGCCAGCTTTTGCTGCCTTCTTCCCATTCGTCACACAAACATGTTGCTCCTTAGTTTAACAAGGGATTTCACATGCAGGCTATAGAGGAAAGGTAACATTATCATATTTGAAACAATGTTAATATATAATACAAACAGCTTTGGTCCTAACCAGTATGCATTTTCTAATACTTTTCCAAACTGAAAAAAATATTAGACCGCATCAGTCAAGCATCACTATAAATTTATTTAACCATTTGCACTCTTGACCAGCATCTGCCCAATACATTAGTTACAACAGGAGAGGGCAGAGACACATAAAAAGCCAGAAGAAATACAAATTGAGTGAGCCAACTGAGTTTTTCTTTAATTAAAAATCTGTTCACTACACAAAACAAAGTGCATTATCTAGGCCTCAACATTGATTTAAGTCCCCTTCCTACTCATAATTCAGCCTTCCTCTGCATCTAACAAGAACCTTCTCCAAAATTTACCACATCCTTTCCTCCAGTTACCACAAACTCTATCATGCCTATCTGCTTTTCCAATCCTTGTATTGCTTCCTAGGAGTAATATGAACACAACACACTTTTTTTGCAAGTTGTTTTCAACTCCCCTCACATTGACTGATCACAGAATGGTTTGGGTTGGAAGCAACCTTAAAGATCACCCAGTTACAACCTCCCTGCCATGGGTATAGATACCTTCCACTAGACCATGTTGCTCAAAGCCTCATCCAGCTTGGGCTTGAACACTGACAGGGATGGGATACCCACTACTTCTCTGGGCAACCTGTGCTAGTTCCTCTTCACTCTCACAGTAAAGAATTTCCCACTAAAATCTAATCTAAACGCACCCTCTTTCAGTTTGATGCCATTCAAAAGTGCCTCTCCAGGTTTCTTGTAGCCCCCCCTCAAGTACTGGAAGCCTGCCCTAAAGGTCTCCCCAGAGCCTTCTCTTCTCCTGGATGAACAATGCCACCTCTCAGCCCATGTTCATAGCAGAGGTGCTCCAGTGCTCTGAGCATCTTCATGGCCCTCCTCTGGACTTACTCTAACAGATTGACATTCTTCTTATGCTGTAGGTCCCAGAGCTGGACACAACACTGCAGGTGGGGTATCAGGAGAGTGGAGTACAGGGGGAGAATCACCTCCCCTGATCCACTGGCCACACTTCTTTTGATGCAGCCCAGAATACGTTTGGCTTTCTGAGCTGCAAGTGTACATTGCTGGCTCGTTGAGCTTCTTGTCAACCAATACCCCTGAGTCATTCTCAGGGCTGTTCTCAATCCATTCTCCACCCAGCCTATATTTGTGCTTGGGATTGCCCCACCCAGCTGCAGGACCTTGCACTTGGCCTTGTTGAACTTCATGAGGTTCACACGGGCCCACCTCTGTCCTGTCAAGGTCCTTCTGGGTGACATCCCTTCCTTTCAGCATGTCAGCTACACAGCTTGTCATCCACAAACTTGCTGAGAGTGCACTCAATCCCATTCTTCATGTCCCTGACATGGATGCTAAACAGTCCCAATATCAACCCCTGAGGAACATCACTCATCACTGATCTCCACTTAGACACTGAGCCATTTACCTCAACTCTTTGAGTGCAAATATCCAGTCAATTCCTTACCCACTGAGTGATTCATCCATCAAATCCATGTCTCTCCAGCTTAGAGACAAGGAAGTTGTGTGGGACAGCATCAAATGCTTTTCACAAGTTCAGTTAGATGACATCAGTTGCTCTTCCCTCCTCTACCAACGCTGTAACCCCACCGTAGAAGGCCACTATATTTGTCAGGCAGGATTTGCCCTTAGCAAAGCCACACTGGTTCCCATCCTCACGCACCCTATTGAGATCCCAACACCTCACTCCTCCAGGCAGACTCCACACCCTTCGGTCCTGCCCTTGCCCCAGGCTCATCAGCTCATCCTGACTCCAACAGCTAGTCTCAAACTCCTTCAGCTCCACATGCCCCTAAGAGCGAGTCCCCAACCCCCCAAGCCACGACTGTCCACGCTCAGCCTCAAAGCCCCGTGCCGGCGGGGCTCACACACAGAGCCGAGCACCATTCCCGGCCGGGCTCCCCTCACTCACCTCCCCTCCCAGCAGCGCCTCTCCCCGCCCGGCGCTCGGACCGGGCCCGGCGCTGTTTCCGGAAGTACCATGGGACGAGCTGGCCCCGCCCCCGCAGCGCTGATTGGTCCCCTCCTGCCGCGCCTGTTGCTACCCGGCAGCACGGGCCGCCATTGGCCAAGCGGGGCGGATCTGGCCCCGCCCACCGCGGGCCCGGAGCGTCACGTGATCGGCGGGCGCGGCGCGCACGTGCCAATGTTTTGGTCGGCGGGGGCGGGTCTCGTGGCGCGCGCGGGGCGGGGCGTGCCCAGGGTGACTCCCCCGAGGGTGACCTCTGAGTGTGACCCCACCCCAGCGTGACTCCACCCCAACGTGACCCCACCCCAGTGTGACCCCCCGGTGTGACCTGGTGTACCCCGGTTTGACCCCTTCCCCCACTAGTGTGATCCCGCCCCCAGTATGATCCCACCCCCGTGTGACCCCCCTCAGGCTGACCGGTGTGCCTGGTGTGACACCCCCTCCCACTCCCTACAGTGTGACCACCCGATGTGACACGATGTGCTCCAGTGTGACTCCACCTCTGGCGTGATCTCTCCAGCGTGACCCTCCAGTATGTCTGGTGTGACCCTCCCCGCTGTGATAGGAACCCCCTTCATGTGGTTCCCCCATGTGACCCCACCAGTATGACCCAGTATGACTCTCCCAGTGTGACCCCCCCTGGTGTGACCAGTGTGTCCCAGTGTGCTTTGGTGTGCCCCATGTACCCCCGTGTGACCTGCCGGTCTGTCCCTCTGTGGCCTGGGTGTGCTGGTGTGCCCAGAAAACCAAACTCACGGAGTGCCTTGTTTAAACTTTAAGTCATTAATATGTGATTGTATAAACATTTCAGATTTCACTTAAAATCAGTCATTTTCCCTCATATGAATGTAGAGAAGATTAAAAAATAGAAGGTCAAGGAACTAAAAGGAAAATTAAAATTATGATTTCAAACATGGTAATCAGTCTTAAATTTTATGCTGTAGAACAAGGGTTTGACTTTTAATTATTTGAATGCTTGGGATTGAGGATACTGCAATTACTGAAACTTGTCCCCTCCAGGAAGCATTCCCTAATCCTTTTGTCATTCTTAGCCATAAGAAACTGAAGGTTTTGGTCTTATAAAATAATTTCAGCAATGTAAGAGCACAGAATTAGGTGAAGGCTCGGATTGGAAGGGCTTCTTTTCAGTCTTTGGTCTGGAAAAAATTACATGAGTACTTATATTTTGCCTGAGATTCATTGTGCTCTCAGTATGTCACTTAATAATTAAACTACTGTTTTGCAGATTGAATTCCTTTCTTGTCATGAAGAGAGAAAAAAATACAGTACCCTAATCTTTTTCAAGACCCCGTTGTCCTGACCCAAATACATCTAAGGCAAAGGTGCTGCCTTTGCATAGCAAAAGGCTATAGGCCACAGTCTCTGCCACTGCCTGATTGAAAAGAGTTTCCCAGCCTCACATTGGAAAAGGATGTAAGTCAATATTAATAGTTCTATCACACTACCAGGAACTTGTAAAGCTCCTTGTCCAGCCCATGAAAGGGTCTTTTTTACTCTTTGGCATGTAAATCTACAAAATTACTTCATAATGTGGCAAAAATCCTTTTGTCTCTAGGTTCTTTCTACACTTTCTCTCTGCCTTTGAGGTATCCTGTGGACATACAATGAGTACTGAGTTACCTCATAGCTCTGGTGAGGTTGATCCTTTAGAGCAGGTAGGATTTGACTAGAAAAACATTGTGAGTGAGGCATCTAATCCAGAAGTGATACAGTTCAGAAAAAGTTATGCAGTTCTCTTGTGTTTATCTGAGGACGAAGCAGCACTAAAAGCTTGAAAGAAAGTAAGCAGGGGATTACTTCTTGAAAAAGTGCAGCCTTTTGAAAAGGACTTGCATTGGAGCAGTTTGCAGAGGACTTTGTCCTATGACAGGGACTCCATGCTGGAGCAGGGGAATAGCATGAGAAGGAAGGAGTGGCGTAGACTGTTATGAACTGACCCCAACCCCTGTTCCCCATCTCCTTGTGACACTTGTGCAGGGCAGGGTGTGGAAGAAAAGTCAAGAACAAAGAGCGGAGTTGAGTTTGTGAAGAAAAGGGGATTTAAGAAAAGGTAGTTTTAGTTTTGTTTTAGTTTCTCTCTCTCCTATTTTAAAAATACCCTACTTTTAATTCACAATAAATTAAAATAATTTTACCCGGGTAGAGTCTGCTTTTCCTGTGATAGTAATTGGTGAGTAATCTCTCTGTCCGTTTCTGGACCCATGAACTTTTTTGTCTTATTTTTGTCTGCCATCCTGCTGAAGGGGAAGAGTGAGAGAGCAGCAGAGTGGGGACTTGGCAGCCAGCCAAGGTCAACCCACCACACTTCCTTAATTATCATAGAATGGTTTGGGTTGAAAAGGATCTTTGAAGGCCATCTAGTTCCAACCCCCCCTGCCATGGGCAAGGACACCTTCCAGTAGACCAGGTTGCTCAAACCTCCATCCAGCCTGGCCTTGAACACCTCCAGGGATGGGGGATACACAGCTTCTCTGGGCAGCCTGTTCCAGTGTCTCACCACCCTCACAGGGAAGAATTTCTTCCTAATATGTGACCTAAACTTACCCTCCTTCAGTGCAAGGCCATTCCCCCTTGTCCTATCACTACATGCCCTAGTAAAAAACCCCTCTCTGGTTTTCTTGTAGGCTCCTTTAAGTATTGAGAAGTGTAGAAGGTCTCCCTGAAGCCTCCTCCTGGCTGAACAACCCCAATTCTCTCAGCCTGTCTTCATGGGAGAGGTGCTCCAGCCCTCAGAGCATCTTTGTGGCCCTTCTCTGGACTTACTGCATGTCCTTCTTCTGGGGGTCCCCAGAGCTGCATGCAGCTCTCCAGGTGGGGTCTCATGAGAGAGGAGTTGAGAGGCAGAATCACCTCCCTCCACCTGCTGGTCATACCTGCTAGGGAATATTACCCTGGGTGAATACCTCACACTTTAGGAAGGATACAATAGGGAAGGAGGACACAGAGAAAGTAACGTGTTTCCTGTAGCTTTTTTCTTTTTTTCTGGTATAGGTTCTAGAAGGACAAGGACGAGTGTGCCTTCCCAGCTTGGGCAGTCACACTTTTAGACTTGTGCTTCAAATTTAATAAAATTATTAATAGCTAAGGTATGTAAGTAATTGGATTTTCCATGACAACTCTCTTTCCTGAATATTCACTGCTACTCATGCCTAGCTATTACAATATTTCACCTGCTGGCTTCAGCGTATTTGTATTAATTATACAATAAAGGGAGCAGGAAGAATGTGATTTTTAATTTTTTTTTCTTTTTTAGTATAGACCTACTTGTTATAAGACTTAGTGTATATGGGGTTTCATTCCAAATGTCTAAAAATCTTGTGATATTCAACAAGCAGATGTAAAGTGGTTGTTGCCCATAGTTAGTACTGAGCCATCCTCTCTTGCAAGCCTAATTTTATATCTCTGTACTTCATAACCAAAATAGTTTTGTTATTTAATGTTTATGAAGTCATTTTTCTATTTAATGTTTATCATACCTGTCCGTCTGCTTTTTTTTAACAAAATATGATAAATTTTCAAATGAGCAAATTTAGAGATATTTCCCATGTATAGTTGCTATCTTGACAGTCCAAGCTCTTACCTATAAAAAATTAATCTATGACTGTGAAATTTATTTTAAAACATTTTTTATTCATTCCAAGTATTTGTTAAGTATTCAAAGATGTATTTGTTAAAATGTACAAAAGAAAACATGTTGTTCACTTTGGGGGGATTTAAAACTCTAAAATAGCAAAATAGAATGTGGAAGCTTTTAAGACTATTCTACTCAACACAGAGCAGATCAAGTAGTTCTTGAATAATTTAATAATGATTGACACTGTTCTGTTTCAGACATTCTTCATAAAGTTCTATGGTAATTTTCTTATTCTGGTGTCACAGTCCTCTATTATGTTTTATTTAGTACTAAAACAGTTTAAACCTTTACAGCGGAAATCGAACAAACTGGTCTGCAGTGTGACTGTTAGTGTTTTTGATTGTTTTAGAAAGATGTAAAGTGAAAATTGCATTACGCCTTGATGAGTTCTGCAGCTAGGATAGTTACCCTTACTGCTGATTGCAGGTCCATGTGAGTGGCACAGATGAGACACTAGATCACTGCCACGTTAACATGAAATTAGGATTCTAGATAAAATGGTAAATTCCATCTTTCCCTTTTCTTTGCTACTAAATTACTTAAATTAGGATTTCTATTTAATAATTCACAGCAAAGGTGAGTTCTCTAAATGATCTTGCACTGATGGGCAGCCAAGCTATTTTGCCTTTAAGTTACTTAGCTTGTAAGAGCTGAGACACATTATTAAAAGCAAAATGAATGGTGTTATTTGGTGTAGCTAAGGATAACCTCATGGAGAAGGTAAAGCAATTTTTCATCAATATTCATATTTCTTAACTACCTGGTTTGGAAATATGCATTATTTTTATAGGAATCACTTTCAATTTTTTTCTGAAAAATCATCTGACAATGAGGGTTATGGTACATGCAAATGGCCTTCTTTCCTTTAGGAGAGTAATTTTCATTTTGCTGAGTAATCTCTATACATATTTCAAAGAACAGAACAGTTCTGCCAAAGAATACCACATCCAGATTCAGTTACTTAGCAACATTTAATGCTAAGAAAAAGAAACAGGGAAGTGATGCAGCAGCAATAAAATCATTAGATAGCAGAAGGGAGTTCATGGTAATAGTGAAGACAAAAGTCATTTAATAAGTAAAATAAAAATGGAAAAGAACACATAATCCAAGCAGGTGGCCTTTTTCCAAGGAACCAGTTGCTCATAGTTTTATTTTTTCAGGAAAAAACTCACGACCTTAAAAAAAACAATAACCCTTGGAGAAAAGCCTCATTGTCCTAAATATTACTTAATGTGTGATTTTCAGTGTATTACATAGTTCTTCAGAAGTTTCTTTTGTGGTTGGCATAGTTTTTTTCTGAATATTTATCATCAGCACTGCCAAAACGAGGTAGTACTGCTCCTCTTGCTTCATTAGGTTTATTAC